GCTACCCACGTTCTGAGTTCCCGACCATCGCCTACCTTCCTGTGTGCAATTCATAGCCTCCTTGTTCCCTGCACAGAGATTTCTCTCATTCTTGCTTGGGTTTTCCTTGAAATAATGAATCTCATAAATACATATATGCGCACATAGACACACACACATGCTTCGAGTGGCTGGCCTAGCTGCCAAGAAGGAATAGAATAGAGATCAGGCTTTGTTTCGGCTCCTCCAAAACAACACCCCCAGTTTGGGTGATTTTACAGATATGAAAGCAATGGATTTGCACTGTCCCCTTCCTCCCCTCCAACAAAATGTTGGACTTTAGATCAGCGGTCACTAACTGGTGGTCCATGGACCACTGGTGGTCTGCGAGAAAATTTTGGTGATCTGCAGAAAAATTATTTGCATTTTTTATATTGCACTAAATTGGGGGTCCTCAAACTATGGTCCCGGATCCGGATATATGCAATGAATGTTTGTGTTGCTGCAGAGAATCTTCCCCTTCAGGGTCTTTTTGTGTGGGTTGGAGGGGGTGAGAAATTCTGACTTAGGGTCTGCTTCAGCCTCCTGGTGTAGGCCTTTGGGCAAAGGCTGGAGGGAAGTCCCGCTGGTGGAAAGGAGCTGGAAGGACTTGTTCCAGTGGGACTGCATCATGGCCTGGAATTGGCTGATCATATCAGCCTGCTGAGCCTCCAGGCGCCGTTACTTGGCCTTGCACTCCTGAAAGTCTTTTGTCTGCTTGGAAAGCCTATGCTCATAGTCCTCAATGAGATGCTTCTGCTGAGCCTCTTTCTTGGTCAGATCCAATTTGAACTGAGCCAGCTGTTTTGCCAACTCTTTCTCGTGGTGGCTGCTTAGCTCCAACAACTGCTTCATGTTGGGGCCCTAAGGAGCCTGGGTGGGCAGGCGAGGAGTGGGTGGGAGGGGAGGGGCAAGTAGAGGCCGGCGAGGCACCCCTTGATGTGAATGACATAGAGTTGGCCATGCCCACCCAGTCACATGACCATCTAGCCACGCCCACCCAGCCAGTCATTAGGCAGATCATATTAGCGGTCCACGGAATTTAAAATTATGAATTTAGTACTCCCTGAGGTCCGAAAGGTTGGGGAACCCCTGTTTTAGATGGTTAGTTCTTGATTTACCACCACAACCAAGCCCAGAATTTGCATTACTAAACAAGCCAGATGTGAAGTCAGTTTCATCTCATTTTTTTCTTGCTATTGTTGTTAAGTGAATCATTGCAGTGGTTAAGTTACTACCATGGTTGTTAAGTGGATCTGACTTCTCCATTGACTTTCTTGTTGGAAAGTTGCAAAAGGAGATCAACATAACCCCGGGACACTGCAACTGTCATAAATACATGTCAGTTGCCAAGCATCTGAATTTTCATCATGTGACCATTGGGATGTTGCAATGGTCTTAAGTGTGAAAAAAAATGGTAATCAGTTAATTTTTTCAATGCTGTTGTTAACTTCAAACAATCACTAAACAAATGGTTGCAAGTCAAGCACTATCTGTAATGTGCTATACAGTAGTGGCCAAAATTGTGGAAACTTTTTGGGAAAAGTGTATTTTCTAAAACAAGTTAACAACACCACTGTTTTTTGGAGTAGTACCATAAAATGATACATCAATCGAAAGATCATTTAATCAAGAATGTAATGCAATAACTTTTATGAAGGATTTGCTATTAGAATAGCAGTTACAGTATAAAGGAGAAAAGTAAAACACGTAGAAAAAACAGACATTACAAAAATGGTCACCATAGAAAAAAATGAGCTATACAAAAATTATCACCATGTCAGTTGATACTTAGTTGGGTAACCTTTAGCATGAATTACGGCCTTACAATGTCTTCCCATGGAGGGAGCCAAGTCTTTTAGTTCTGCAGCTGTTAAAATGTGAAACCAAGATTGAATGATTGCTTCTATTAACTGGGTTTTATTGCCGGGTCGCTTCTAACTAACAAGTTGCTTTAGTCTGCTCCATAGATTTTCAATTGGGTTAAGTTCTGGGCTATCCCCAGGCTATTCCAGCAGTGGAATATGATTATCTTAATATGCCAAAAAAAGTGATGTTATTAGCCATCAAATCTCAAAACTATACTTTTCCCAAAAGGTTTCCACAATTTTGGCTGCTATTGTAGATCCCCAGTTCAAGTTCCAGTACTTTTCACAGGAGAGCCTTCATAACCATAACCTCCCACCCCTTCAAAGTAGACAAGGTCAAGAAACAGGCCGAGCAGAGATTCCAGGAATGTCCTTCACTGCCCTGGGGTGGAAAAACAGTACCTCCAAGTTTCTCCCTTTCCGACCTTCCAAGAGAACCCAATCGTGGCAGAGTAATCCTGAGATTCTTTCTCATATTTTTGTATTTCCTAGGCCTACACAGATTACAGATTAACAGAGTTGGAAGGGACCTGATAGGTCACCTAGGCCAAACCCTCGCTCAGCAGGAGACCCTACACCATTTCTGACAATCGCTTCTTGAAAGTCTCAAGCGATGGAGCTCCCACAACTTCTGAAGACAACTTCTGTTCCATTAGTTGATTGTTCTCACTGACAGAAAGTTCCTCCTGATTTCTAGGTTGAATCTCTCCTTGTTCAGTTTCCATCCATTATTCCTTGTCTGGCCTTCAGATGCTTTGGAAAATAGCTTCACCCCTTCCTCTCTGTGGCAGTCCCTCAAATATTGGGACGCTGCTATCATGTCTCCCCTGGTCCTTCTCTTCACTAGACTAGCCATGCCTAGTTCCTGTAACCCTTCTTCATATGTTTTAGTCTCCAGTCCCCTAATCATCCTGGTTGCTCTCTTCTGCACTTTTTCTGGAGTCTCAACATCTTTTTTTTTTCATTAAAAAGTTTTACAAAAAGTTTACATATTTCCCCCCCCCTTCCCTACCCCAGCCTCCCCCCTCCCCCCTCCTCTTCCCAGAACAAATTACAGGGTATAACCTTCAACAATCATGATCAATCCTAGTCTAAATAATTATAACATTCCACATCTCTTGTTCCTTCAATTCCCTAATTACCCGCCTAACTTGATTACTTAAAGACACACCAAATATCTATATAGTCATTCATAACCTATCTGCAATTTCTTATTCCGGTACTTGTTTTGAATATAATCTATCCATCTTCTCCAGTCTCTTAAATATCTTTCATTTGAATGATCCTTCAAGTACGCCGAAATTTTTGCCATCTCCGCTAGGTTTGTAACTTTCATAGTCCACTCTTGGACTGTAGGTAAATCTTGCTTCTTCCAATATTGTGCCATCAACAGTCTTGCTGCAGTTATTAAATTCAAAATCAATTTAATCTCTATAATTGTACAATCCATAACTATACCCAGCAGAAACAGCTGTGGTGTAAATTTCAACCTCTTTTTAAGAATATTTTGTAAAATCCACCAAATTTTTATCCAAAATGCTTTAACCTTTTTACATGTCCACCAAATGTGAAAATAAGTGGCATCCTCACAATTACATCTCCAACATTTTGGTTGTACATTCGGATACATACCAGATAACTTTTTTGGGTCTAGATGCCATCTATAAAACATTTTATAAAAGTTCTCCCTTAAATTTTGCGCTTTGGTAAATTTCACATTTGTCACCCATATTTTTTCCCAAGTTTCCATCATTATTGGCTGTTCAAAATTCTGCGCCCATTTTATCATACAGTCCTTAACTAACTCTGTTTCCGAGTCCATCTCTATCAATATATTATACAATCTTTTTATGTGCATTGGGCTTTGGTCTCTAATTTGTTTAATTAAATTTTCATCACTTTGTATAACACCAGTTTTCTGGTCTTTTCTCCATCTGGCTTGTAGTTGTACATATTGAAACCAAGTTTGAATTATTTTCTCCTCTTTCAACACATTCACAGGTTTTGATTTTAATATACCTCCCTCCATAATGAGAATATCTTTATATGTAATTACATCCTGTCTGCTTTCCAGTCCCCTAATCATCTTGGTTGTTCTTCTCTGCACTCTTTCTAGTCTCAACATCTTTTTTATTGTGTGGTGACCAAAACTGGATGCAGTACTCTAGGTGTGGTCTTACTAGGGTACCGTTCTTACTTTATAGAACAGTATTAGTATCTCACTTGATCTTGATTGTATCCCTCTGTTAATGCAATTTAGGATTGTGTTGGCTTTTTGGGCTACTGCTGCACACTGCTGGCTCATATTTAGCTGGTTGTCCATTAAGATTCCAAGATCCCTCTCACAGTCACTGCTATTAAGCCTGGTTTCACCCAGTTTATATGTGTACTTTTGGTTTTTCTTACCTTACCTTTCTTTCTTTCTTTTATTTGTCAAGTACTTATTAGATTATATATATATATATATATATATATATATATATATATATATATATATGCATGAATTGAATACATAAAATGAAAACAATTAAAGGGAATATTAGGACAGGGACGATAGGCACACTGAAACTCTTAAGCATGCCTCTTACAGACCTCTTTAGGAATGGGGTGAGGTCAACAGTAGCCAGTCTAAGGTTAAAATTTTTGGGGTTTGGGGATGAAACCACAGAGTCAGGTAGTGCATTCCAGGTATTGACCACTCTGTTGCTGAAGTCATATTTTCTGCAATCGAGTTTGGAGCGGTTCACTTTAAGTTTGTATCTATTATGTGCTCGTTGTATTGTGGTTGAAGTCTTATGCCTTCTTTTCCAAAATCCCCCACCCCCATTATTGGTTTTGTCCTTCTTTTCTCATTTCCAAAGTCAGATCTGTAACCAGAGTAGAAAAAACTATAGAAACAAATGTTTGCTACAGCTACCCAACCAACTGATATCTCTTTAGCCATGGAAATGTGTGTACAAAGCCCCTTGGACAAATCCAAAACAGATCCAAGTCCCTGCTTAGCTGCAGAGCTTCCTAGTTGATGCAAACCAAACTTATTTATCTCCAGAGTCTCTAGAAGAATAAAGAGTGACTATGCCTGATTGAGGAAGGGAAAATAAGGAAAGCAATTACCTTGCAAGGAAACCTCTTTTCAACTCAAGTGGATGTTTCCTGCACGGGGAGCTTTCTTGGTGAATTCTTGCCCGCAAGCCAGTTCATTTCTCGGCTGGAAGTTCAGTTGTCACAACTGGCGTGCCAGAGTTCCTTTCTGCGTGCCACCAGAAAGCCTGAAGGGAGGTGATAGAAACTCTCCCCTTTCACATGGTGTGTTGTTGTTGGGACTGCCCAGACGAAAGTCTCCACATTTCCTTCCTGTGGACCAGCCCAGTGCAAGCTGTTGGCTGCCCCAGTAGCTGGGTCAAGCCATTGAAACAATGACCACTTTCCTGTCTGAAGGACCCAAGTTGTGGGTCTTGGCTGGCGTAGACATTCCAGAAGTCAAGTGCTTTTTCCAGTCCCTTCCTCCTCTTCCGCAGGGCCTTAAAACCTGGTATGTAAGACCTTTAGTTGGAAGGGAAAGATGACACTTGTGCTGCTATGCACTGATCGACCCACACCATCTGCCAACCAAACATAAGGAGACGAACCAGCCCCTAACTATAAAAGAGAAAGGTAGGGTAATTCTCGTTTCCCAGACAGACTCTTATCAGTGGCCAGACTCATAAAAGATCAAGCAGGCAATTCAAACCAGCTTCCTTCCTATTGTTTTCCTGACCCACTGAAAAGGAGATTTCAAATCCTTCTGGATTGCCCCCAGCAGCCTTCCTTTTGCACATCATCCCCTCAGTTGTACAGGCGTTTGTATCCCATTGCACACTTGTAAAACATTGCTTGGTGATTCTTCACATTAGCAATTAATTTAAAATAATAATGTCCTTTGTTTTTAAAGAAAATATGTTTTTACCGAGGATTCACCTCCTTCCTGAATCCCAAACTGGTTCTGGTTAAATGCACATACTGAATATATTTTCAGAATTTCTGCCCTTCCCTCCCCAACAAAGCTGTCTTTTACAATTAACTGACTGACAAATTTACCATCAGTCAATTGCAAAAGGTGGCTTTAATTGAAAAGCTTACATCCTGCAAGGATACTTCACCAAACATCATTAAACACCAATAGCTGCCTATCCCAGAATCTTTGAGAAGAACTTGATAGATTGATAAAAATGCCACATTCCATCTGAACATCTGTCTGACTGTACAATGAACCATCATATCACCATCAAACAGCCATACCTGATTATCCCAGGGCCTTGAGAAGGACTCGATAGGTGGATAAAAATACCAAATCCACTCTGAATATCGAGTTGTGTGATAAACCATTACAATAATGCATACCTAAAGAATAAATGCTGCATTTTCAAATTCAAGTCCTGGGTTGTTGTTATTGTTGTTGTTTGCACAAGCTGCCTTTTTAACACAATTGAAATTTGTCTGCAGAAATGCAAGTGTGTTTTCAATTGCAATTCAAACAGACAAGGGCACCACCCAGAGTCTGATAGGTGGCCATAAAGTGAAACTAGGAACTCAGATTGCCGGGAGAAATATCAAGAACCTCAGATATGCAGATGATACCACTCTAATGGCAGAAAGTGAAGAGGAACTAAAGAGCCTTTTGATGTGGGTGAAGGAGGAGAGTGCAAAAGCTGGCTTGAAACTCAACATTAAGAAAACTAAGGTCATGGCACCCTGCCCTCTCAATTCCTGGCAAATAGATGGGGAAGAAATGGAGGTAGTGGCAGATTTTATTTTCCTGGGCTCCAAGATCACCGCAGATGGGGACTGCAGCCAAGAAATTAAAAGACGCTTGCTCCTGGGCAGGAAAGCTATGGCAAATCTAGACAGCATACTAAAAAGCAGAGACATCACTCTGCCAACAAAAGTGTGTATAGTCAAGGCTATGGTTTTCCCAGTTGCAATGTATGGCTGTGAAAATTGGACCATAAGAAAGGCTGAGTGACAAAGAATTGAGGCCTTTGAACTCCTGCGAGTCCCTTGGACTGCAAGACGATCACACAGGTCAGTTCTAGAGGAGATCAACCCTGACTGCTCTTTAGAAGGTCAGATCCTGAAGATGAAACTCAAGTACTTTGGCTACTTAATGAGAAGGAAGGACTCACTGGAGAAGAGCCTAATGCTGGGAACGTTTGATGGCAAAAGAGACTGCAGAGAATGAGGTGGCTGGATGGAGTCACTGAAGCAGTTCGTGTGAGCTTAAATGGACTCTGGGGGATGGTAGATGACAGAAAGGCCTGGGGAAACATTGTCCATGGAGTCACGATGGGTTGGACATGACTTCGCAACTAAAACAATAGGGACTAAACATATAAATACATAAATCCCCTTGTAGAGATTCCATTTTGCAAATCTATGTTTGCCTGAGACCACTATCGACCAACCCGCATGTGTCATACTGAGAGAAAATTTTCTCTTGATTAAGAAAAAAAGGGTTGCTACAGTTACACACTTTCACAATAGGTCAGCAGTGATGTGATGTGATCTTTTGGAAATCTGGACAATGAAGGTCCATTTTTTAAAATGACTGAAATATTATGAATTCACTGTCATATGTTTTGACAGTCTCTCCCCCCCCCAAACGTCTTGCATTTATATTTTACCCATTTAAAATATTCTTTTTAGTTAATTGGGGAGTTCTAAGGACACCGGCTATTACTGAATGCCACATTGTCACCTGTGATTTAACAAGCACATTTGTTGCTCACTGCTCTCAGCAAATCCACCCAAGTTTTAATATTTACTTCACAATTGAATAGGGACTCATATCATATTTTAAAACCCAGCTCTGAAGTAAATTTCTGTGAATCTTATATCGCATTTTCAAACCCAGCTCTGAAGTAAATTTCAGTAAATCTTATATCATACTTTCAAAACCCAGCTCTGAAGTAAATTTCGGTGAATCTTATATCATACTTTCAAACCCAACTCTGAAGTATATTTCAGTCAATCTTATATTACATTTTCAAACTGAACTCTGAAGTATATTTCAATGAATCTCATTGTCACCATCTGAATTATGTAATGCTTAATTGTCAATTAAATAGTAACACACATTTAGGATTAGAATATTTCATGGAACCATGAACAAATAGGGGTCTTTGGAGAAAACTGAACATACAAATTAGAAAAGAAGAAACCCAGTTTGACAAGTTAATAAAAATGAGGATCTGTACCAATTTGGAACATATACAGATGGACAAAGGGCTAAATTGGATTAGAAATAAAGTACAAAGGGAAAAACCCTTTCCTGCCTAAAATCTCAACCCCTAGTTTTAATTTTCTGATGTGGTCATGATCTTCTCAGCCAGCTTTCAACAGGCAAAATCAATGGGAGAAGCAAGACTCACTTAACAACCGCATGGATTCAAATTCAAATAATTTTATTAACCAGCAGAAACAATGTCATGATTCACTTAGCAACGGCAGTGATTCACTTAACATCCATGACAAAAGTTTAATCAGGTGTTTTGATAAGATAGCAGGTGGATGGGCCGGCCATGTTGAATATGTAATATCCATATAACTTTTGACTGGATGAAGATTCTGTGAAAACATCCAGCTTGGAAGTTGAGTCTTCTGAAAGCCTATCTGAGTAATACACACACACAAATCCAGTTTGCTTTCGACTGATTATGTTACATAGTTTGGTAATGAAATGTCCACAAGAAAACAACCAAACTCAGAGATTCCTCATGCTTTGCATATACCCAGAATGAACACCTGTTTCTTGAACACAATGATTTTCTGAAAAATAGCGAGGACTGTGGCCATTGACTTTTAGCAATATGTTAGAGATTTATTCAGGGGAAAAAGTTGCCATAAACTCTTTTTTTTTATTGAAAAGTTTTAAAAAGTTTTACAAACATTTCCCTTCCCCCTCCCTCCTCCCCTTCCAACCCTCCCCTTCCCCACCCTTCCCCCCCCCGGCTTCCCAGAGCAAAATACAGGGTATAACATTTGACAATCATAAGCTAACATAAGCTAATTATCTATAGCCCCCTATCCGCCTCTTGAACTTTTAACTCCCCTTTTACTAAACTAAATTTAAGTACTTTATAAAATCTCTTTGATCATTTGTAAGCTATTTGAAATTTTTAGTCTGATATTTGCCTTGAATATAATCAATCCATCTTCTCCATTCTAACATATATTTGTCATTTGAATCGTCCTTTAGATATGCTGAAATTTTCGCCATTTCTGCTAAATTTACTACTTTTAATGTCCATTCTTGAATAGTAGGTAAATCTTTCTTCTTCCAGTACTGCGCCACCAAGAGTCTTGCTGCAGTTATTAAGTTCAGAATCAAATCTTTATAACCGTACAATCTGTAATTATACCTAACAAAAACAACTGTGGAGTAAACTTTATCCTTTTTTAAAAAAATATTTTGAATAATCCACCATATTTTTATCCGAAATGGTTTAACTTTTTTACAAGTCCACCAAACATGAAAATAGCATGTAGCATCAACACAATCGGATCCCCAACATTTGGGTTGTAAGTTTGGGTACATATAAGCTAACTTTTTGGGATCCAAATGCCATCTATAAAACATTTTATAAAAATTTTCTCTCAAATTTTGAGCTTGTGTAAATTTTACATTTCTTACCCAGATCCTTTCCCATGTTTCCATCATTATTGGTTCCTCAAAATTTTGTGCCCATTTTATCATGCAATCTTTAACTAACTGTGTCTCCGAGTCTATTTCTATCAATATATTATACAACCTTTTTATGTGCATTTGACTCTGGTCCCTAATTTGTTTTATCAAGTTTTCTTCACTTTGTGTAATACCAATTTTCTGATCTTTTTTCCATCTATTCTGCAGCTGTACATACTGAAACCAGGTTTGAATTGCCCTTTCCTCTCTTAATACATTCAAAGGCTTTAACTGTAGTACATTTCTTTCTGTAATCAGAAGTTCTTTATAAGTAATTACATCCTGTCTTTGTTCTATACTTATATTTTCTATTGCATGTCTGGGTACTACCCACATGGGTATCTTACCATTCAATTTATATTGGTATTTTTTCCAAACACGCAGAAGAGCATTCCTTAATATGTGACTTTTAAAAGTCCTATCCACCTTCTTCTCATAAACTAAATAGGCATGCCAACCATATAACAAATCATACCCTTCAATATTCAATATTCTTTCATTTGTTAAATTAATCCAGTCACTAGTTGCTGACAAAGCAGCTACTTCATAGTACAATTTTAGATTGGGCAATTTCAAACCTCCTCTTTCACGTGTATCCTGCATTATTTTTCATTTAACTCTCGGTCTCTTCCCTGCCCAAACAAAGTTATTAATGTCTTTCTGCCATTCCTGCAAATTTGCATCCTTTTTAAGTATTGGTATCATTTGAAAGAGAAATAGAAACTTGGGCAGAACATTCATTTTAACTACTGCTATTCTTCCCAACAAAGACAGTTGTAATTTTTTTCCATTTATCCATCTCTATCTGTATTTTATGCCATAACAATTCATAATTATACTTGTATAATTTCCCATTTGATGTTGTAATAAAGATTCCTAAGTACTTAACCTTTTTCACTATCTCGCATCCTGTTACTCTTTCCATTTCTTCTTTTTGATTTGTATTCATATTCTTAACTATCATCTTTGTTTTCCCTGTATTTATTTTAAACCCTGACACTTGACCATATTGCCTCTTTAATTCTTGTTCTTTACCTTTGGTTGCTGCTCGAATTTGTCTTTGATCCTTGGGGTCTTGCATTTTTTCAAATAAATCCAAAAGTTGAACATCCTCTGAAAGTTGCAAAAATTCTTTTTTTTCCAATACAAAAGTTTTTTATTTTTATAATCAAACATACAAACAATACATAATCAATCATTGAATATATCATCTAATACATCTTTTATATCTTCTTCTTACTGCTCTATTAATACATTTGCCTTTTTTTTTATTTTATTAAAAATCATAAAACAATTTTATCCCCAGCACCCCTCAACCCCCCTCCCCTCACCCCCCCTGACTTTCCAGGGCAAAAGCAGGATATAACATTTAGCAAACCTAAGCTAACATATACTAAGTTACTATTAAATTCAAAAATCCCCCCCATTCTTTAACTCCCCTTTTAAAATTCTTCAATATTCAGTAACATCAAACATAAACATTTAATTATATATGCCTTTTAAAAGTTCTATAATCTCAAGTTAAACATTTTAAAATATCTTAATACTTCCTCATATTTCAGTAAGACATTCTTCATGATCTAAATTTCCAGACTTTTTTTTTAAAAAAAAAACAACTATCCATTAAGTTTTAGGTTAACTACTTTAAAACTGCAATACATTTCAAAAAGCTATCCAACTTTAATTAAACCTTTTGTTTCAATTTATTTATTTATTTATTTATTTATTTATTTATTTATTTATTTATTTATTTATTTATTTTTAAATTTGTATACCGCCCTTCTCCCTGAGTTCTCAGGGCGGTGAACAGCCAAATAAAAACATAAACTACAAACATTAAAATACAATTAAAAAGATATATATAAATTTGGCCCCATGATTAAAAACAATAACAAACAATAAAGCATTGTTCAGAGAGATCACCCTAAAAGTATTACATAGATTCCAAAACTTTCAAAAAGCTACCCCTTAAATTTTTGATTGACCCTTTTAATACCTCAGTAACTGTTAAAGAGCTATCCATTTTTAGTTAAACATTTTAATTAGACATCAATAGTCTTCCAAATATTCCTTCAAAAAGTTAACCTCGCATTCTTCCTTTCTTTCTGTATTTTTTCCAGTCCTTCTTCTTCATTAACACTTTCTTCTTCGGTATTGCTCATCCCCCTGCTTTTATTTTCAAAATTTTTTGAAATTGGATTTGTAGTTGATGTGTCTTAGAAATTCGTTCTCCTTTCAAAATTATTTCTTTCACTTTGGAGCCCCCATCTCTGCTCTTCCTGCTTGTATAATCAGTCACTTCATTCTTTAAGAATTGACTCTGTCTGAAAAGCCAAAAATTGTCAAAATATTTTTCAATCTGCAGTGATAAATCTCTTTGATACTTTCCAGTTAATTGTGTGGAAGCCTCCACCAAAACCTCTGTTTCCAGTGTGCTAAACGCCATCTTAATCCTGTCAGCCTCTTCTTTGTCCTCCAAAATCACATTAGCCTGCTTGATTTCTTCCTCTTTTCCAGCCAGCAAATCATTGTAATACTCCAATTTACAATCTTGAATAATCCTTTTAGCTGAATCCAGTATATCAGAAGTAAAATCATTTAAAAGTTCTTGTAAAACCTTTACAGTCAGAACTTGTGAATTTGCTGACTCATATCCTCCTTCCTTAATGGCAGCCATATTTCAATTTTAACTTTATATTTATTCAGCTATCAGATCAGTAAATCCAGTGATTTTCCACACACTTTTAACAAAAGGTCCATACCATAGTCTTTTCCATTCCACTTCCACTTTAAATCTTTTTCTTTTTCTTCTCTATATAATCCAATACCTTTAACAATGTTGCAGGCGTTAACAAGCACTTTCACTGATAAGTTTCATTTTCTTCAGTGCCATTTCCCCCCCTTTTTGAATGGAGTTAAAGCTTTTATACTTGCATGTTCTGCTCTCCTGATTCTGCTCTGCCAGCATCCAGATTTAAAGTGTCTTTAAATCTCAAGGAAGAAATCTTTAAATCTTTAATCTTTTGCTGCTGGTGTGGTCGCAACGCCCCGTTCTGCCTGAGGCAGATACGTCCCGGATCCGGAGCACTGAAGGGCTTCCAGGGAGCTCTCACCCTGCAACCCCCAGCCTTAAAAAAAAGAAAGCCTGGGGATCTAGGGGAGCTCTACCCAAACCCTTCTGCTCTTCTCTCCCCCTTTTCCCCCGGGGGAGAGTTTTGAGCCACTAGATAGCTGTTTTTCGCTGTTCTAGAGGCTAACGAAATCTCGGGGCTGGATCTTGTTGAGTAGTCAAAACACCTCCTTGAGCTTGTGCCTGCATAATTTCCTTTTCCCCCTTTCTGGCCTCTCCTGCTTCTTTCCTTCTTCTGGCTTCTGGAGATGGTGGGTTTCCAGCCTTTAGTATGGTAGTGTAAAAATCTCTTGCCTTCCAAACTGAGTTGAGGTGATGTCTCTCACCCAAATAATTCACCACTAATCCAGCTGGAGCTTCCCATCTGTACTGCAACTGACACCTTCTAAGTTCATCAACTAAAAATGCATAGTCCTTTCGAGATCTCAACATTTTGGGGGGAATTTCCTTCATTACTGAAACCTCCTGTCCTGCCACTTGAAGTTTCTTCTTATAGGAAACTTGTAAAACTCCATTTCTTGTTCTCCTTGTAACAAAGTAGATCACAATATCTCTTGGTAGTTGTCTCTGTCTGGCAATCCATGAATTAATGCAATAAATTTTGTCTATTTGCCAGTCACACTCTGCTTTAGATTCTCCAGTAAACTGAGCAAGGGCTTCTGCAAAAATCTCTCTGAGATTTTCCTGGATATTTTCTTTCAAGCCTTTAACCCTCACTGCCCATTCCATTGCTCTGTATTGTGTCATTATGAGTTCTGCTTCCGCCTTTTCCATCTTATTTTGAGCCTCTCCCAATTTAACTTCCACATTCAAATTAAACTGATCAATTTCATCCACCTTTTCTTCCAATGATGTAACATGACCCACCAGTCCTTTAAATGCTTCAACAATATCTTCTCTTTTGCATCATTTTGAGTTTGAATTGTTTCTTTAATTTCAAGCAGTTTCTCAGACACTTCTTTATTTTTTTCCTCAAAATGGAGTGTGATTTTTTCTTCCAAATCAGTGGGCAGTTTCTTTAAAGCTCCCTGAAGAACTTCTAGTGTCAATGTTTGTGTATCTGGTGGGGCTAACAAAGGCTGCATTTTTGATGTTTGAGCTGGAGAAGTCCCCGCACTTTTAGTCACAATAGTTTTTATTTGCTTCACAGCCATCTCCAAAATACACTTTCCCACCAGCCAGTCAGCAGAACCAACAGGTCTTCTTAATCTCAGTCTTTAATAATTATTATGGCTTAATGATAAGTCAATATTGTATTCTTTAATTTCCAATCCTCAAAATTCCCCAACAAGGTCTTTTAAAAGGTACTGACAGCGTTAATGAGCATTAATGAGCATTAACAAGCACTTTCTCTTTTAACTTTCATTTTCACGCCCTTAAGCAACTCAGCGCCATCTTTTTTAAACTTTCTCCCGTCTCAAGTTCCAAAGGAAGTAGTAATTTATTAGAGTTAAAGTTTAGTACTTGCAGTTGTGATTTCTCCTGTCTTTGCTCTGCCTGCTTTCAAATCCAATCGTTGTAAAATCATTTAGTTCGCAGGGGTGGTCACGGCGCCTTGTTCTGTTTGAAACAGAAATGTCCCGGATCCAGAGCTTCTTCAGGTGCTTGGGGAGCTCTCACCCTCCGCACCCCAGGATTGATCCTAGAGTTCTTGGGGAGCTCTACCCACACCTGCCTGCTCTCCTTCCCCTCTTCTCCCAAGGGGGAAGTTCCGAGCCACTAGACCAGCTGATTTTCGCTGCTCTAGCGGCTTTACGAGATCGCGGGGGTTAGCGCTCCCAAAGGAGCTGCCGCCGACGCCTGCGGTGCCACCAGAAGTCCCTGCCATAAACTCTTCAAGTGCTTCAGTGCTTTTATCATTGAATCTTTGGATGGCACTCCTTTCTTTCCCCAAATTTATTATTATTTCTCATTTAAGCTTTCACCCTGTTTTGTTTTGAAGCCATTGGTAGAGATTGTTAGAATGGCTCCATTTGATTATTGTTACAAGAAGAAAAAAAACATTTATCTCAGGCCAGCCAATTCCAACAACTGACAGAAAGATGGGGAAAGCACCATGTCAGAATTCTACGGGCCGGGATGGGAAAGTAGGGATCAGGTCAGAGGTGGGATTCAGAGGTGGGTTTCAGCAGGTTCTGACCAGTTCTGGAGAACCAATAGTGGAAATTTTGAGTAGTTCAGAGAACCGGTAGTAAAAATTCTGACTGGCCCCGCCCCCATCCATTCTCTGCCTCCCAAGTCCCAGCTGATCGGGAGGAAACGGGGATTTTGCAGAATCCTTTCCCTAGAGTGGGGTGGGAATGAAGATTTTACAGTATCTTTCCCTGCCACGCCCACCAAGCCACACTCACAGAATTGGTAGTAAAAAATGTTGAAACCCACCACTGGTGGGATTCACTTACTTTCCCTACTGATTCGCAAATGTGCGCGCAATCACTCGCTTCGGTTGGATGTGCCTCCTCTGCACATGAGCATGCCATTCTGTGCATGCTCTTTGCTCACGCATTATGTCAAGGTGGGTGGGCGGAGCCTCCCGCAGTCACCACTACTGGTTCGCCTGAACCGGACAGAACTGGCTGAATCCCACCTCTGGATCAAGTGCATGACGGAAGGAATCCAGCTTCCCATCAGAGCTGACTATTAACCATGCACATTCGTAGGAAGATCAGGAAGGAGAAGACTGTTAAAAGACATAGTAGCTCCCCTCAAGTATTTAAATCCTGTACAAAATGGGAGATGATTATTCAGTGTGGTTCTAAGGGTGAGGTCAAAAAACAACAGGTTAAAATTATAACGAAGTGAATTTTGTTGGGCGTTACACCAGGAGATGTTTTACAGTAAAAGCTGTCCAAGAAGAAAAGCAGACAGCCTGGGGTGTAGTGGGCACTCCTTCATTAGAGATGTTTTAAGAGAGGCTGGATGGCCATCCATGCAGGATGCTGAAGCAGTAGAGCAGACATGCAGTTGAATTAGATCAAGAGTCTCCAAATTTGGCAAGTTTAAGACTGGTGGACTTCATAATCATAGTCATCATAATCATAAGTTTATTCGTCAAGCATATGTAGGATAACAGGTAAAAGTATAAACATAATTTGAATACATGAAAAGAGTAAGTAAAAAGGAATATTACGACAGGGATGGTAGGCACGCTGGTGCACTTATGCACGCCCTTTACAGACCTCTTAGGAATGGGGTGAGGTCAACAGTAGACAGTTTTAGGTTAAAGTTTTGGGGGTTTGAGGAAGAAACTAGAGAGTCAGGTAGTGCATTCCAGGCATTGACCACTCTGTTACTGAAGTCATATTTTCTGCAATTAGTTTGGAACGGTTTATCTTGAATTTGTATTTATTATTTGCTCGTGTATTGTTGTGGTTGAAGCTGAAGTAGTCATTGACAGGTAGGATATTGTGGCAGATAATTGTATGTACTATGCTTAGGTCAGACTGAAGTCGGCATAGTTTTAACTTGTCTAAGGCCAAAATTTAGAGTCTGGCATAAGGTATTTTATTGCAGTTAGAAGAATGGAGGACTCTTCTCATAAAATATCTCTGGACTCTCTCAATTATATTTATGTCCGATATGCAGTGCGGGTTCCAGACAGATGAGCTGTATTCAATAATTTGTCTAGCAAATGTTTTGTATGCTCTAGTTAGTAGTACAATATTACCAGAGAAGAAGCTATGCAAGATTAGGTTAACAACTCTTAATGCCTTTTTGGCAATGTTGTTCAACTAGAAAAAGTGCACAGAAGAGCAACCAGGATGATTAGGGGACTGGAGGCTAAAACATATGAAGAACAGTTGCAGAGACTGGGCATGGCTAGTCTACTGAAGAGAAGGACTGGGAAGACATGATATCAGTGTTCCAATATTTGAGGGGCTGCCACAGAGAGGAAGGGGTCAAGCTATTTTTCAAAGCACCTGAAGGCCAGACAAGGAATAATGGATGGAAACTGAACAAGAAGAGATTCAGTCTAAAAATAAGGAGATGTTTTCTGACAGTAAGAACAATCAACCAATGGAAGCTTGCCTTTGGAAGTTGTGGGAGCTTCATCACTTGAGACTTTCAAGAAGAGATTGGACTCCCATTTGTCAGAAATGGTGTAAGGTCTCCTGCTTGGGCAAGGGGTTGGACTAGATGACTCCCAGAATTCCCTAGCCAGCCATGCTAGCAGGGGAATTCTGGCAATTAAAGTCTACCAGTCTTAAAGTTGCCAAATTTGGAGATTCCTGGAATAGATGATTTCCTGAGTCACTTCCATCCTTTCTGTTCTGTGATTCTATCTTTCTAGGAAATAGCTGGATGCGCAGAAAAGTCAGGGACAATTGAGAAGGCATGTGGAGTTGGCTGGAATGCTCCCAAGCACAGGGATGAAATTGTCCATTTTCTATCAGCATTCATTGGTTACTGCTTTTTCTTGTCTGAGGAGCTTGTTCAACATGCATGTGGTTGCCACCTCCAATCTGAATTCCTGTGTTGCAGTTGCCACTGATTTGAACTCCGCCATCTGGAGGTCAAGAAAAGAATCATCTTTGTTAAAAATCAGTACAGAGACATCTTATAGGGATGGGTTGGTTATATTTTGGGAACGTTTTGTTCTGACCTAGGCTTCTTGATATAGTAAAAAGCACACAATCCCCAAAACCCCCCTTTTTAATTTTAACGGCTATGAATTCCTTTTATTCACAGCGTGTGCTGAATCACCAAGAGTTTATAAATAGTCCAACAGAAGTCTGCCACAGTCCTTCAGATAAGGCTGGTAAACACCCACCTTTATCTTCTTTGACACGCTGCCAAAGACCTAATTGGTAATTAGCTTGGCAAGATAACACAGAGTCAAAAACGGAGTTTCAAAGTACAAACCGACACCATCCACAACATTGCTTCCTGCAAAGGCCCACATGTCTGTGCTCTTCCTTTATATCTTATGGGAAGGGCCAATCATCTCCAAGCCTTACTCCCGAGTCATCCCTTTTGTTTTAACTGTTCTTGCCTTCTGGCATCTCTGCGCATGCGCACACTAGGAACAAGTTTCCCCTGTTTCTCTGCCTCTCTGATGTCCGACTCTGGAAGCTCCAGAGTCTGCACATAACTCCCAGATAGCCCTGGCCCCATCTCTGCCTCCAATGCAGAGCCCTCGTCCGAGCCTTCCCCAGACTCCAGGACTGGTCCATGTTCCTCCCCAGCCTTCTCACTGTCCGACTCAGCTCCTCAGGCTGCTGGCAGACCACAACACGTTTGCACTTTTACTCACAGGAAGCTGTAGGTGCAGAACGCCAGAGGAATGACTGGTTCTGATGGGCAAATCCAATATCTCCTTGGTGGGGGCCATAAAAAGGCTGGAAAAAAAATATTCAGATGGAAAAAAAATGGAAAAATAAATGGATGAGTGTGCATGGGAACAGAAAAGGTGACAATTGAGATCACCTATACACTTATATCACCTTGATGACCCAGTTTAAAATGGACTAAAAAATCAGATCAAATCTGATTCAGCCATGAGTTGCTCAATGATGGTGTTTATTTGACAAACCACAAAGGATTGAGTTCATGCAACATGCTAAGTAATCTCACTGCTCTACCTTTGTAAGATCTCACATACTCTCTTTCAAATTGTGGATGACCTCATTTAAAACTTCTTGAGATCTCATGTGGGGACTCAAGGATCCCACAAACATGAGTAACCTTAGATGTGATTTCAGCCCTTCTTTAATTTACTTTTTAGCAATAGCAATAGCACTTAGACTTATATACTGCTATACAGTGTTTTTATAGCCCTCTCTAAGCGGGTTACAGAGTCAGCATATTACCCCCAACAATTTAGGTCCTCATTTTACCCACCTCAGAAGGATGGAAGGCTGAATCAACCTTGAGCCTGGTAGGATTTGAACTGCCAAATTACAGACAACTGGCAATCAGCAGAAGTAGCCTGCAGTAATGCACTCTAACCACTGTGCCACCAAAGCTTTTACAGAGGATTGCAGTTCCATCAAGGAGGGTTGCTGCTGCACTAGAGGTGTGTGCTGCGTCTAAATGAATTCTATTGAAATACACTATAATAATAACTTTCTTCTGGATCTTTGGGAGCCCAAAAAGAGTAGCAAGCAATCTTCCTTTTAAAGCTGGTCTTTCAAGGAACACAGAATCTTCCCTGCCACTAGCCATTGATCTCCCCTAGTTCCAAAACTGCTAAACTGTGGCAATCTTTATGGTCATAAATGATGGCGCATTCAGTGCAACATTTATCCTAAAGAATCACTCAATTTTCTGACCCCGTGTAATGTGTGGAGTGTTGAAGGCCTCCAAAATAAGAAAAGAATTGTACCATTCAGTTTAACAGTCAAATCTGAGTTTGGAAACCTATAATATGCATCACTTATAAACAAAGACAATTGAATTTATGGGATCCCTTGTTTATCCCCCAATGCCATTTCGTGCAACATACTCTCTCATCCATTCCCCAAAGGTACAGATGGCACCCAAGTCTACAGGTATTTTAAAACCTAGCCAAAGCAAGATTGTTCCAATAGGTGTTTGACCCTTTGGTTCATATAATTAAATAGGTGTCAGGTGCAAGCAGCCAGAACCACTCTGTGAATGGCCCAAGTAGATTTCTTTATTGCTGACCACCTATACTACAAAAATATCACTAGACTGTCTGCCTTCCTTTGGGAAATGGCAGATATAGACCTAAGAGTTTGATTTCAGATGTTCCCCTACCCCAAAACTAGCTCCAAGCTGTAATGTCTTTTTACTCACCCTACAAGGCTCCCCCTCCTTCAGATGATTACACCATAATAGCACATGAACTGTTAGACCTTCACTGATATATTTTTTAAAAAATATGATTTTTTTTCCTACTCTGTTTTCCCTTTATTGTGTTATAACTTGTACCCACAGAGAGTTTGTTTGGATAGAGCAAATAATGGATGGATGGATGGATGGATGGATGGATGGATGGATGGATGGAGGGGTGGGCTGCTGGGGGTTCGCAGGGGTTTGGAGAACCTCTAGCTAAGATTATGTGCAGTTCGGAGAACCCCCAAATCCCACTCCTGGCTGGCCCCGCCGATCCCCCCCTCCCACATGGCCCATTTTGGATGCAGATAAGTGCAGGGGAGGCTCTGGGAGGGTGAAAAATGGGCCTACCAGAACTTCAGGAAGGCTGGAAATGGGCTTGTTTCTGGGCTCCAAGGGCCTCCGGAGCCTGAGGAGGCTGTTTTCACCCTCTCGGAGGCTCGAGGAAAGCCTCTGGAGCCCAGGGAGGGCAAAATGTTGCCCCCCCCACCATGGTGCAGGAGGCTGATTAGGCCACGCCCACCCTGGCCACACCCAGCCAGCAACCAGGAAGAGAACCCCTTGCTAAAATTTTTGAAGCCCACCCCTGAATGGATGGGTGGTGGATGGATGAACAGACAGATGACTGAATTATCTAGTTTGCCAATAAAAGAAACTGTTAATCACTAGGGATCTGGTTTGGAACCCGAAAGATTAAGGAATCTTAAAGCCATAGATTCTTACTGGATCCCCTTCCAGTAATTGATATGTCATTCCCTCTGGCAGCCTAAACTGTTTCAATGCCAAGTGGCCCTTATAAGAAATACAAAGTGGTAAACTGTTTTTTTTTTCTTCTTTGCCCTCCCGTTCATTTTCCTTTCATGTCATGTGTAAACCAAAGAGCAAAGATTAACTTTTTTTTTGAAAAAAAAAAAATGAACTGCAAGTTTTGCAGGGAAATTCCTTGGGCAAAAGAATGAAGTAATTGTGCATGGCTGCATTTGTGTGTATTTGTTTGTGAACCTTTGGGAGCACAATTGTCCCAATGTTTCCGATTGGACAAAGCTATGGACTGTTTTCCCTGATGAGGGAAAGTTTCACAAAGTCTCTGTTTGACCACTGTGGAAACTGGACACTGAACTATGAAACTTAGATCCAACAGAGCTCTTCTTACAATATCACTGCCAATGTTCTATGCTCGCTCCTATTTTTGAAAGAAAAAGTTGGAGGGAATCAAATTCATACAACCCTAGTGGAAATTAAAGGGGACGCAGTGGCTCAGTGGCTAAGACGTTGAGCTTGTTGATTAGAAAGGTGGGCAGTTTGGCGGTTTGAATCCCTAGTGCCGCATAACGGAGTGAGCTCCTGTTAATTGTCCCAGCTTCTGTCAACCTAGCAGTTCGAAAGCACATAAAAAATGCAAGTAGAAAAATAGAGACCACCTTTGGTGGGAAGGTAACAGCGTTCTGTGCACCTTTGGCGTTTAGTCATGTCGGCCACATGACCACTGAATCGTCATTTATTTATTTATTTATTTATTTATTTATTTATTTATTTATTTATTTATTTATTAAATTTATATACCGCCCTATTCCTAAGGGACTCAGAGCGGTGAACAGCGAACGATAAAAATACATGTAATACAAACGTTAATAATAAAAAACCAATTAAAATATACTAAACATTCTGGTCCTAGATAATTCAAGACATCCCAGTTTAAAATAAAATCAAAAAGCAATATAAAGGGAAAGTTAGGCCAGGCCGGCCTGCTGAAACAGGAATGTTTTGAGGGCACGGCGGAAAGTGCGCAGATCCGGAATCTTCTGTATCTCTGGGGGGAGCTCGTTCCAGATGGTGGGTGCCCCCACAGAAAAGGCTCTCCCCCTGGGGGCCGCCAGTTGACATTGTTTGGCTGACGGCACCCTGAGAAGCCCCTCTCTATGGGAGCGTACTGGGCGGTGAGAGGCTATTGGTGGCAGAAGGCGGTCTCGTAAGTACCCCGGTCCTAAGCCATGGACTGCTCTAAAGGTGGTAACTAAGACCTTGAAGCGCACCCGGAAGACCACAGGGAGCCAGTGCAGCTCACGCAGGAGGGGAGCCACATGGGAGCGCCATGCTGCTCCCATAACTACCCGCGCGGCCGCATTCTGGACCAGCTGGAGCCTCCGGGTGCTCTTCAGGGGGAGCCCCATGTAGAGAGCATTACAGTAGTCCAGGCGTGAAGTGACGAGGGCATGAGTGACCGTTTTTAATGAGTCCCGATCCAGAGAGGGACGCAACTGGCGAATCAGGCGAACCTGATAAAAAGACCTCCCGGCCACAGATGTCAAGTGTTCTTCTAAAGACAGCCGTGAGTCCAAGAGGACGCCTAAGTTGCGAACCCTCTCCGTGGGGGGCAATGACTCATCCCCAATAGTCAGTGATGGCACCAATTGACTATATCGGGACGTCGGAAACCACAGCCACTCGGTCTTGGATGGGTTGAGCCTGAGTCTGTTCCTCCCCATCCAGATCCGTACAGCCTCCAGGCACTGGGACATCACTTTAAGGGCATCATTGGGGTGGTCCGGGATGGAGATGTATAGCTGAGTATCATCAGCATACTGATGATACTTCACCCCAAAACCACGGATGATCTCACCCAGCGGCTTCACATAAATGTTGAACAGAAGGGGTGAGAGAACCGACCCCTGTGGCACCCCACATACAAGGGGCCTCGGGGTCGACCTCTGCCCCCCTGTCAACACAGACTGCGACCGATCAGATAGAAAGGAGGAGAACCACCGCAACACGGTGCCTCCCACCCCTAACTCTTCCAACCGGTGCAGCATGATACCATGGTCGATGGTATCAAAAGCCGCTGAGAGGTCTAATAGGACCAGGATAGAGGAGCAACCCCTGTCCCGGGCCCTCCAGAGATCATCTACCAATGCGACCAATGCCGTTTCCGTGCTGTATCCAGGCCTGAAGCCCGACTGGAATGGATCTAGATAAGCCGATTCATCCAAGTACTGAGGAAGCTGTCGCGCAACCACACTCTCAACAACCTTTGCAATGAAGCGAAGGTTGGAGACTGGACGGTAATTAGCCAACACTGCTGGGTCCAGAGAAGGCTTCTTGAGGAGAGGCCTCACCACCGCCTCCTTCAAGGCAGCAGGGAAGACACCCTCTCTCAAGGAAGCATTTATAATCCCCTGGAGCCAGCCTCGTGTAACCTCCCGAGAGGCCAGCACCAGCCAGGAGGGACACGGGTCCAATAAACATGTGGCCGCGCTTAGTCTGCCCAGTATCTTGTCCACGTTTTCCAGAGTCAAAGAATCAAACTCTTCCCAGATAATATTCTCAAGACTTGCCTCCATCCTCCTTCCCGAATCTACCCAGTCAGAGTCCAAATTTTCCCGAATCTGAGCGATTTTGTCATACAAATATTGTACAAAGTCCTCGGCTCTACCCTCCAAGGGGTCCTTCCACGCTTCCTGGTGGAGCAGGGAGCGGGTCACCCTAAACAGGGCGGCCGGGCGATTATCTGATGACGCAATAAGAGCGGAAAAATAGTTACACTTTGCCGCTTTTATTGCCACCAGGTAGGTCTTAATATGAGACCTTACCAGTGTTCGGTCAGATTCAGAACGGCTGGCCCTCCAACTGCTCTCCAGGCGTCTTTTCCGGTGCTTCATCTCCCTCAGCTCTTTGGCACGGGCTCTTTGGCTTAGAAACAGAGATCAGCATCACCCCCTAGAGTCGGTAATGACTAGCACGTATGTGCAAGGGGAACCTTTACCTTTACCTTAGTGTAAGTAAGCAAGAGAGATTCACAGAAGAACTCTTAAGGATGCTTCTCTCCATATTTTCCCAATCTTGTACTTCCCTAGTATTTCTCATTTACTTACCGGCGGATAATGAGGGTATGCAGGATAATTTGGATATAATGGAGAAGCAAATGTATCTGAACGGGGCCGTTGCTTAGTACCTGTTTTAAAAAAAGGGTGGGGGGGACATGATATCAGTATTGCAATATTTGAAGGGCTGACACAGGGTTGCTATTCAGCAGGTTCTGACAGGTTCTGGAGAACCAGTAGCAGAAATTTTGAGTAGTTTTGAGAACCGGCAAATACCACCTCTGACTGGCCCCAGAGTAGGGTGGGAATGGAGATTTTGCAATATCCTTCCCCCAGAGTGGGGGAGGGAATGGGGATTTTGCAGTATCCTTCCCCTGGAGTTCGGTGGGAAAGGAGATTTTGCAGTATCCTTCTCCTGCCATGCCCACCAAGCCACACCATGCCCACCAAGCCACACCCATAGAACCGGTAGTAAAAAAAATTGATTTCTACCACTTAGCTGCCACAAAGGGATCAACTTATTCTCCAAAGCACCAGAAGGCAAGACAAGAGGCAAGGTGTGTGTGTGGGGGTGTTTTTTGACCTCCCCAGGCTCCAGAGGCTTTCATCAAGCCTCCGGGAGGGCGAAAACTGCTTCCCCAGGGCTCTGGAGGCCCTCTGGAGGCTAGAAACAGGCCTGTTTCCAGACTTCCAGAACCTCTGGTAGTCCCATTTTTTTCCCCTCCCAGACACTCCGCACGGCCCCTGCACTTACCTGGAATGATGAACAGGCTGTGTGGAGACTCCTGGGAGTGGAGGGGCAGGGTGGGAGGGGTGGGGCAGGTTTGGCCATCCAGGGGTGGAATTTGGGGGTTTGTCAAACCCCAGCAATCCTTGGCTAGAGGATTGCCCGAACCCTGCCGAACCCCTAGGAGCCCACCCCTGGCTATGCACCCACACCCACAAATACATGGGTATCATTTGTTCATTCTTCCTGCCATAGAACAAGTCCTGTTATATAAAGAACTCTGTAAGCAAGGCCAGAGGTGATAATAGTTCCATGATGGTCTTGCAGTGCAGGAGTAGCATGCCTGGTTTCAGATGAATTGATCTCCCCAAACAAGACAGGGAAAAAAAAATACCTCTGAGTGTGCGCTGTTGCGGAGTTTGGACTTCCGACGCATGAGGATTTTCCTGCTCTGTCCTTTCAGATTTCTTGAAAAACAAAGCATCAGGCTAATTAAAAGGTGATCCTGTGTTCAAGATGCCCATGTCAGCCCCCTACAGAAGACCTGTTCAGGTTTATGCTTCTTCCGTCAATGGAAGTGACAGCTTCCTTTCCTGGTTTCTAGCCAATGAGCATTGCTCTTACAGGCACACTTTGCCAAGAAGGCTTGTTGTGGGAGCACTAGTCTTCCATAGTGTTCTCTAATCACAGCCACCATCTTGGATTAGATCAAATAGGCTTGACACAGCCCAGGCATAGGGGGCAAGATTGGATGGTGATATGTGATTGAACAAGAGCTTCAGCACATGTTCCTTTAAAGCTGGGCCCTCTTGGTAGTGGTTCATGGGACATTAGTCACTCATCATTTTCCATACCAATTCTGATCAAGGATTTCCTGATAAGTTTGTCACTAACTGGAATGCTCTCTTTTTCCTATGAATGACTAACTCATTCTAACTGGCACAAAAGAGTAAATTGATAGTTATGTTCTTACATTCCTGATACACATGCTTTTACTTCGGTGAAGGGTCGCAGAAGATTTGTTCCTTAAAACGACTTTTGGTGGTAGAGCTTCTGAAAGGGGGGAAAAAGCCATGATTATACACCAACTTATCCTTTATTTGTTTTAGCCATGGTTTCTTGGATTAATCACAATGGTTGGCTCCAGTGGTGGGATTCTGCCAGTTCTAGGCGGTTTGGCCGAACCGTTTGTTAAATTGCTGGCTTGCCCCGTCACTTGCCCGACCCCTCCGCACCACTGGGCGAGGGGTGGGCGAGCCAGCAATTTCACAAACGGTTCGGTGTTTTTTTATAATTTTATTGGCCTCGCAGCTGCCATGGGGCTTCAAAGAGCCGCCCTACAGCTGATCAGTGTTAAAAGAAAACAAATGACTAGATCTACGCCTGCAAAAATAAATGGGTAGACCCAGTGGTGGGATTCTACTTCTGTGGAATCGGTTGTTAAGTAGTTCAGTAGTTAAGCCAGTGGTTGCCAAAGTGGGCGGTACCGCCCCCTGGGGGGTGGTGGAATGCCTTAGGGGGCGGTAAGAAGCAAGGGAGGTGGCAGGGGGGGCTAAGTGGCAAGGAGGGTGGCCCCCACCCTTTGGCCTGTGCCTCGCAGCACTTACCTCCTTGCAAGCAAACAGCAAGAAAAAACAGCCCCTTCAGCTTCAGCATCCGTTAATTAGCACAAGTTGATTAGATCGGCCTCCTGACTTTCAGCTGATTTGCTCTCAGCTGTTTTGCCAGGGCTCTGTTGCTATCTGCAAAGCGTCCTGGAGCAGATTTTTTTCTCCCTAGCTATGCTGAAAAAGCGAAACTGAAAGTAAAGCAGGGTCTTTGCTTCAACATGACAAAAGGAGGTAGAGAGAGATTTCTTTTTCTTTTTCCTCACCAAAAAAGGTAGGTGCAAAACTGTAAACAATGGGAAATTTAGGGCAAAAGAGGAGAGTTCAAGATTTTGAAACACAAAAGAAAAAAAGCTCTATTTAACTAGGGAATTGTAATAATTGAGATACTATTAATTGTATATTGTGTTGAAAGCAGAAATGGTTAAGTTGTGGTTTGGAGGAATATATGGGGGAAATTATTTGATTTATTATTATTGGTAAATATAATTAATTGATTTGTAAGAAATTGGATTGCATGGAAATAATTGGAATATTCATGTTCATATTGATTAATATACAAAAAAGATAGTTATATAACTAATTGATTTATATTAAAATGTTGAATTTATATTAAACAACTGTAATATTACATAATTAACCAATGTGAGGATGGATATAAAAATAGATGACAATGGGAAGGGGTATAATATAGAATAGAAAGGAAAAATTGAATTTGATTAAGATTAGAGATGAGGATGAAGGATAATATTGGTTTTTTAAAAAAATAGATGAGGAATAAATATGGCAAAAAGGAAATATAGAAATTGTAAATTTAATTGAAATGACTAAACACTGTTTAAATTTGTGAACCGGCCAAATACTCTGTTCAAAGAAAATACATTGTATGTTTGTATGTGTGTTTCTAATTATTGTTATTTATTCATATTTGTTCTCTTTTATTCTGTAAAGTTTAACAATTCATTCTTTATCTTAATATCTTTATATTTGTTTGGGGTTGGCTTTCTTCCCTTTCATCTTTTTTATTGTACAGCAATCTTTCTCCTCAAACCTACCACCTCTCTCTTTTCTTTCCTTCTTACTTTCTCTTCCTCCCCCTCTTCTTCTCCTCCCTACTTCCTCTTCCTTTCTCCTTCTCCTCCTCTCTTCCTCTCTCTCTTACCCTCACTCCTACTCTAATTTCCCTTCCCTTCCTTCATCCCCCTCTATTGCTGTATCCTTTTATGCATATGGACTACTCAGAGGGCGGAAAAAGTTATTTCTGACTGGTCCTCGCACTTTTGACCAGTCGAAACTGTGACTGTCCTCACATTTTACGTTTTTGCCCTATCCTGTCACCATGGTGAAGAGAAGCAGTTGTGAAATGAGTGACACGGTTGTTAAGAATGCCGCAACTGGCACAAATGTGAGGGCGGTCATAAGTGCGAGGACTGGTCAAAAGTGTGAGGACCAGTCAGAAATGACTTTTTTCAGCCCTCTGAGTAGTCCCTATGCAGATAGCCACGCCTACCCGGTCACATGACCAGCTAGCCACGCCACCCGGTCACATGACCAGCTAGCCACGCCCACCCAGTCACATGACGAACTACCCACGCCCACCCAGTCATATGACCACCAAGCCACACACCCCAACTAAGCCACGCCCACAGAACCGGTTGTTAAAAAAATTGAATCCCACCACTGGTTGGCTCCCTATATCACCTTAAAACAAAAATCATGGATTACAACCACAATAATTAAAGTCACACAATATGCTAATCTATAAATTACAGCATTGGTCTTATCACAGTACATTTAACTATAGATTTTTTTTAGTCATGATTCCATGTACTATCACTGAGAAAAATCTATGGCTTGTCGGCACACAGTCAATTAAAAAAATACCATGAACTAGCTATAGCAATTATATATGATTTGTAAACCATAATAGCAATAGCACTTAGACTTGTATACCATTTTACAGTGCTTTTACAGCCCTCTCTAAGCAGTTTACAGAGTCATCATATTGCCCCCAACAATCTGAGTCCTCATTTTACCCATCTTGGAAGGATGGAAGGCTGAATCAACCTTGAGCCTGGTGGTATTTTAACTGCCAAACTGCAGGCAGCCGGCAGTCAGCAGAAGTAGCTTGCAGTACTGCACTCTAACCACTGCGCCACCGTAGTTCATAATGGTAGAATTCACAAAACATGACTCGAATTAACCAAGATGGCTTGATTCATACATTTTCCTAAGGCAAACCAAAGGAAACTTGTTATGGCTTTGGGTAATATGTGAATCCAGCCTATGAGAAGTACCTGGGTATTTTGCAGGCTTAGTCAAACGGTTTTTAGATATTCTTGATTCTGAAATATTAAAGTAACTGGCTTAGTAACATTTATTCACATTCACTGGATTGTCTTTGTAGATTTATAGGCTGACAGCTTTCACTTCAGTTTTTCTTTTTTTTCATTTAAGTAGCAATGTGCTTTGGTTTGCAGTGTTAGTCATAATTACTGAATCCTTTTGTCGAGATAAGCAATAGTTTACATATCTAAGACAAAAGAAGGAAATCCCATTCTACTTTACAGGCTGCATGAATCTGCCCCATTGTATAAATTATTTTGAAAAAATTACACCCCTGGAATGAACCTAGGTCCTTCCAAATAGGATTTTCATTGAAAAAATGCCTATTGTTCTCCACATAACTTTATTGTGGGATCCAGACTTCACTGCTTTCCATCCTTTTTTCACTAATACTTCCTTTTTTATTATTATTATTTACTGCAGAAAAATGGTAACAAAAAGAGGAACAGAATGAGAAATAATTCCAGTGGTCTCTTGACATTAGCCCAAAGAGTTCTAGGCCTTATAGCCCCTTCTTGATTTAGCCCAAGGATGAGGAATGATGGCCCTTTTATGACTTGTGGACTGCAATTCCTAGAATTCCTGAGGCAGCCATGTCTACAAATCATAAAGGGGCCATTGTTCCTCACCTTTGATTTTAGCACATCATGGCAAGCATTGCTGCTTTCAAAAACTGAAGACAACAGACAAGCCAGCTAATCATGGTCTCCAATGGTATAGGCAAAAGTTGCTCCAAGAAGCAAATGTTGATGGGCAGTCACAAACATACACACATACATACACACATAATCAAATGGCAAACATAGTCCATGGCAACCATATTAGGCTACAAAAATCTAAATGCTGCCACTAGATGGCAGCAAGGAGAATGGGAATCTCTAGCCGTTCACTGCCATCTAGAGGTGCTACTAATTTTTGCAGCCCAAATCTACTTTACTAATGAGGAAATGTAGGTGACTGGATGCTATTGCTGATGACATAAGCAGTTGCTTACAGAACTTCAATTAGTTACCAGGAGACGATTCTAGCAAAAAGATGTCTATTGAACCACAAGAGTCGGCAGTAACTGAGCAATCACTTTCGTTAATTAACATTCAGATGTGAAATGACGAGGACATTTGGGCAAAATGGTTGGAAACATTGAGCAAAGGGAACCTTTCGGGAAACATCTTCCCATTGTGCAATTAAACATAAATTAGGGTGTATGCTTGAATTCCAGATCAGTCTTCTATAATTGGAGCTTTTCACTTCTGTTGGACATCACTTCTCGTCATTCCAATCCAGGAAGGCCTGTGAATAATTTAAATTCAAGAGATTGGAAGGGCAAGTGTTTATAGGATGATGTGGAAATTTCTGAGACTGGCTTATAGCCAAGTTGGATCCTTTTGGGGTCAGAGGCTACAAAGAGCACTATCCTATAGGAAATGCAAAGTATGAGATGGGGATGTGTTCAGAATTCAAACCAAATATTATTGGTTACTCTACATTGGGGTATTTGTAGGAAGGATTTGGGGTAAAACCCATGATTTGGAGGCCAAATGTTGGCCATGCAATCTTGGTTTGAGGGGGAGAAAGAAGCTACAAAACTTGGAATAATACATGTGGTGGGTTGTTCCAAAGGTGCTTTTTCAGGAAGCAACTGGACTTCCTTGTTTTTTTTTCTTTTGAAGACGTTTCACTTCTCATCCAAGAAGCTTCTTCAGCTCCAACAGCTTCTTCGATCAGAGCTGAAGAAGCTTTGTGGGTGAGAAGTAAAACGTCTTCAAAAGAAAAAAAACAAGAAAATCTAGTTGCCTCCTGAAAAAGCACCTTTGGGTCAACCGTGACTTGAATGACTGAGAATCTCTACAGACATGTGGTGGCTTGTAAATCTTGGTCTAGCTAGTAAAATAGGAAGAGGTGGGATCAAAAACGGGAAAAACAAAGAGGGAATATTCTTAAGAACCCTGGTGGTAAAGTGGTTAAAGTGCAGTATTGCAGGCAAACTCTGCTCATAGTCTGGAGTTTGATCCTGATGGGGCTCAAGGTTGACTTAGCCTTCCATCCTTCCGAGATTGGGAAAATGAGGACCCAGATTGTTGGGCACAATATGTAAATAATGTTTGACATTGTAAACTGCCTAGAGAGTTCTATAAAATGCTATGGGGCAGTATATAAACCTACATGAACAGTGAAGGTGCAGTGGCTAGAATGCAGCATTGCAGGCTAACTCAATCCTGACCAGCTCAAGGTTGACTCAGACTTCCATCTTTCCATGGTCGGTAAAATGAGGACCCAGATTGTTGGAGGCAGTGCGCAGACTCTGTAAACCGCTTATATAGCAATAGCATTTAGACTTATATACCGCTTCATAGTGCTTTTACAGCCCTCTCTAAGCAGTTTACAGAGTCAGCCTATTGCCCCCAACAATCTGGGTCCTCATTTTACCCACCTCAGAAGATGGATGGCTGAGTCAACCTCGAGCCAACGAGATTTGAACTGCCGAACTGCAGCTAGCAGTCAACTGGAGTAGCCTGCAGTACTGCACTCTAACCACTGCGCCACCTTGGCTCATAAAACTGTAAAGCACTATGAAGTGGTATATAAGTCTAAGTGCTATTGCTATTGCTAAATGCTACTGTAATTAATCCTTAAGCATTCAATTTTGATCACTCAGATTTTTAAAAATAAGGCTTTTTAGCCTTTAGATCAATTTCCAGTTAATTAACTCCAGAAAAGTAGGAAAAGCTGCATGACCCACCACCCTTTTTCACATTGCACTTGCCATTTTGCACTGATGGCGTTTCTTCCAGGTGGAGAGTTTGAAAATGATCTTCCAAGCCATAGGTAGGACGAGAGAATGCTCGGTAGTCCTCAGACTTCATCGCTTCCTTGGAACTCAAGCCGGAAGGGACCTTGGCTTCTGTTCTAGAAGAATTCTGCATCTTTTGGAAGTGAAAAGAAGACAAATTGGCAAGGTGGGAAGAGGAGAGCACCCAACTAAAGTGATCTTGAATGGAGGAAGGAGATAAAATCCCTCTAGATCAGGGGTGTCAAACTCAAGGCCTGGGGGCTGAATCTGGCCTGTAGGATACTTACATCTAGCCCGTGGGGTTGTCCAGGAAACAGCGGACCGGCCCGCAGTGCCTCTACCAGTGAAAATGGAGCTCAGAAGGGCTGTGTGCAGCCTCCCAAATTTTCACTGGCAGAGGGCTGCAGAAGGCGGTCACAGCTGAAAATTGAGCTCGAGAGGACAAGGGGCAGCACTCCCGAGCTCAGTTTTTGGCGGCAGAGGGTTGCAGGAGGCCATTGGAGCCAAAAACGGAGCTCAGGAGCCTGTTTTCACTGGCAGAGCGCTCAAGCCAAGTGATGTCGAGCTGGCCATCCCCACCCTGGCCATCCCCACCCCCAAGGTCAAACACAACCCTGATGTGGCTCTCAATGAAATTGAGTTTGACACCCCTGCTCTAGATTAAGTCCCAAAAGTGCTTTTCCTAAAAGGCAACTGGACTTCCTGCCTTCAGGTGCTTTGAAAAATAAGTTGACTCCCTCCTCTTCGTGGCAGCCCCACAAATATTGGAACTCTGCCATCATTCATTTACCAATCATTTACCAATATTTGTAATATTGGTAATGCATTTTAACAAGGTAAATTAAATTTAAACGATATTTTTGCCACTGCCTGTTTTAACTCCTGAGATTTTGGGGAGAAGCGGAAAGACAGTCCCTGTTGTACAACTCAAAACTCATCTGTGGTCCGTGCCCCCCCCCCCCCAAAAAAAGGATAAAACTTTCTCACTGATTATCCCAAGTCAAGAAATTTTCACAGGTAATCCTTGATTTATAATCCCAGTTGGAGCCACAATTTCCGTTGCTAAACAAGGAGGTTGGTAATGAGATGCACCCAATTTTACAACGTGCAAATCATGTCAGTTAACTGGTTGTTAAGTGAATCTGCCCCTCCCCCCCATTGACTTTGCTGATCAGAAGCCAGCTGGGAAGGTCGCAAAGAGCATTCACATGACCCTGGGACTCTGTAATCATTATAAATATGTACCTACATTTTGATCGTGTGTCTGTGGGTTTGCTGCAGTGCTCATAATTTCAAGGACCTATTATAAGTCACTTTTTTCAGTACTGTTGTAAGTTCGAACGGTCACTAAAAGCAATAACACTTAGACTTATATACCGCTTTTAAGCAGCTTACAGAGTCAGCCTATTGCCCCCAATAATCAGAGTCCTCATTTTACCCACCTCGGAAGGATGAGTCAACCTTGGCCAGTGAGAATCGAACTGCTGAACTGCAGGCAGACAGAATTAGCCTGCAGTACTGCATTCTAAACAGGGACGTGGTGGCTCAGTACCTAAGATGCTGAGCTTGTCGATCAAAAGGTCAGCACTTTAGCGGTTTGAATCCCTAGTACTGCATAATGGGGTGAGCTCCTGTTACTTGTCCCAGCTTCTGCCAACCTAGCAGTTTGAAAGCATGTAAACAATGCAAGTAGGAAAATAGGGACCACCTTTGGTGGGAAGGTAACAGCGTTCCGTGCGCCTTTGGCGTTGAGTCATACCGGCCACAGGACCACGGAGACGTCTTCGGACAACGCTGGCTCTTCGGCTTTGAAAGGAAGATGAGCACCACCCCGTAGAGTCGAGAACAACTAGCATGTATGTGCGAGGGTACCTTTACCTTTATCTTTTACTGCATTCTAACCACTGCGACACCACGGCTCATAATGGTTTTAAATCAAGGATTCCCTGTACCCAGTGGTGAAATCTAATTTTTTTTTTTTACTACCAGTTCTGTGGGCGTGGTGTGGCTTGGTGGGCGTGGCAGGAGAAGGATACTGCAAAATCTTCATTCCCACCCCACTCTGGGGCCAGCCAGAGGTGGTATTTGCTGGTTGTCCGAACTACTCAAAATTTCCGCTATCGGTTCTCCAGAACCTGTCAGAACCTGCTGGATTTCACCCCTGCCTGTACCTTATCTCTCATGCTTAGTAAAACCAGGGAATATATACCCTGTCTGATGGCAATTTAAAAGTAGTCCTCAATTTACAACAGTTCATTTAGTGACTGTTCATGATACCGTATAAATGAAGAAAGTGGCTTATGGCCATTTTTCACATGGCCATTGCAGCATCCCCATGGTCACATGATATAAATTCAGACGCTTGGCAACTGACTCTCATTTATGACGGTTGCAGTGCCCCGGGGTCATGTGATCCCCTTTTGCAACTTTCTGACAAGCAAAGTCAATGGAGATTCACTTAGCAACCGTGTTACTAACTTAACAACTGCAGTGATTTGCTTAAGAACTGTAGGCCGAAAGGTTGTAATATGGGGCAAAACTCACTTGACAAAATGTCTCACTTAGCGACAGAAATTTGGGGTTCAATTGTAGTCATACGTCGAGGACTAGCTGTACTTGGTGCGTATGAGACAGAATGATTGCCTATGTAGCAAAATTACCATCCAGGAAATACAATGGCATTAAAAAAAAAAGAAAAAATTATCATGTTTGCATGGAAATACTTTGCATGACAAACTGGAGCTCTGGTGCCCTCTGGAGGCTGATCATAAGAACGCATATTTAAAATGTATTCTTTACCAAAATATCTTGGACTTCACTGACAGCTGACCTAATCTTCCACTTGTAACAGCAATACGCAACTTCCATTTCTTCTCTGCAATCTGAAAAATGGAGGAAAAACAAGAATGAGTAAAGGAATGTGGGAAGCCCCCACCCCCCACCCGAAGAATGAAATATTTTGGGGAATCTTAAAAGAGACAGAAATGGAGAAACATGCTCTTAGAGGCAAAAAACAGCCCCAATTTCCTGCATAGTAAAACAGCCTCCAGCAGATGCCTGAAATCTTAACAGATGGAGATTTTATTTCATTAAGAAAAGACTGGGCCAACCTATTCACAAACAAAACACCTTCATCTCCAGTTGATGGGATTAAGGACAGGACATGACCTTAACCCCATTCATTGAGAAAATTTGTCCATGAAGAAAGGCAGGCTAGAGGCAATAGATCACAGAATAAAATCAATTATACATTTATACAAGCTGATAATTAAGACCCATCACGAGCCTTTGTGAAACCAATCAAATGATAAAGGCACACAAAGCAAACTTCAAAATTGCAAAATACTGTAAACCAGGGGTGTCAAACACAAGGCCCGTGGGCCGGATGCAGTGATGGGTTTCAATTTTTTTTACTATCGGTTCTGTGGGTGTGGCTTGGTGGGTGTGGCAGGGGAAGGATACTGTAAAAGCTCCATTCTCTCCCCACTCCAGGGAAAGGTTACTGCAAAATCCCCATTATCTCCTGAACAACTGGCTCTTGGGAGGCAGAGAATAGATGAGTGCAGGGCCAGTCAGAGGTGGTATTCTCCAAACTACTCAAAATTTCCACTACTGGTTCTCCAGAAACTACTGAAACCCACCTCTAGCCAGATGTGGCCTGTGATGTGGTTGGATCTGGCCTGCAGAGTCAGCTTGGAAAATGTTGCTTCGGCCTGTCTACCCAATGCGAAGAGGAAACATGCCAGCAGTTTGGGGAGTGGCATTAAGCTGGCCACGCCTACCCAGTCAGCCACGCCCAGTGAGTGTCGTCAAACTGGCCATGCCCACCCAGTTGGCCATGCCTACCCAGCCCGCCATGCCTGCCCGGTCCCCTGAGGTCAATTTGTCCAGCCATTTGTTCAGACTGGTATAGGATCTCCTGTTTGTGCAGGGGATGAGACTAGAAGACCTCCAAGGTCCCTTCCAACTCTGTTATTCTGCTATTCTCTTATTTTGTTATTCATCACAGCTATTAAAATGCAGTCCACTTTAATGGTGAGCCCAAGCCAAAGTCCAGCCAAGGGAAAGATGGTGGATGCATCTCTGCTGTTGAGTATCCTGCCACTTCTTAATAAGGGGTGTTTCTTGGATTATGTGCGAGGGAAGCTACTATGCATCTCACTTACCCCGGAAGCTCGGCCTCTGGTCCTTCTCAGTAGACCAACATCTTCTCATGAGGTCAATCAAGTTTCCCAGCTTCAGCACTTGATCGACCTGCTTCTCCAGATCTTCAGTCCGTGGCCTTTGACCTCGGGGGATGTGCATCTTGATCAAGGAACTCAAGTTGGCATGGTGGAGATCTGAACAGGGAATGGAAACGGAAGCTGTTAATGGTATTTTTTTTGAAATGGAACATCACACAAGCCCTGGTATCCATACAGATTCATTAAACAACAGGGACAGACAAAAGAAATGGAAGAGCGGAGATGAAAGGAAATGACATATTTCTTGTATAGCATCACCCTTCCATCAATTCTCTCCATTGCTTTCTATCTGTGCAGACTGGTGATGTGATGTGTCTGCAGGGAGGGTCAAAAAAAAAGTCAAGAAAGTAGACATAACCATGCAATACTCCTCAGAAAATTTAAACAATATATATATGCTGTGCTGCTAATATAAACCAAATTAAACTTCCTTCCTTCCTTCATGTCACAGAATTGTCCTTTTTGGTGAAGAAAACCAGGAAATCAAACTACATTCCCAACAAATTATCATTCTGAATATTTTTTTGAGGATTCTATGGGAGTTTAAGTGAAATTAAGCAAACTTAACTTTGGAGATCATGAATATGCTTCATTGGTTTTTCCTTTCAGATAAGAATTACCAGTGCGTGAGGTTAAAGGGCATTACATGCCAAAACAACTAGACACAAAGATAGTTTCCTCCCACCTCCCCGTGCCATCACTCTGCTGAACACCAAATTTCTACAGCACTGTCTTTGACCTAAAGATTTTCATCCATGTAGAAGAGCTGTATAGCTATTATCTTCCCATCTTCTCATCTTTCCTACCACATTCTCCTACTGGTATCTTATGATTTATAACTTGTGGTTTGTATCTGATGATTAATGGTTGTAACTGATTTATGATCTATGACCTATCTAAGATAGATCCATGATCTACATACCAGTAGTGGGTTCCACTTACCTTTGCTACTGGTTCGGAACTGTGAGCGCGCACATGCACAGAGCATCTGTGATGACATCCGGGCAGGTGGGTGGAGCCTCCCGCTGTTGCCATTAACAATTCACCCAAATCGGACTTCCGGCAGCTCCGCAGGACGTTGCAGACGCTCCTTTGTGGAGCGTTAGCCCCGCGACTTTGTTAGCCACTAGAACAGCGAAAAAACAGCTGTCTAGCGGCGAAGAACCTTCCCCCCCGGGAGAAGAGGGGGAAGTGAGCAGCCAGGCGTAGGGTAGAGCTCCCTAAGAGCCCTAGAATTAATTCTGGGGCTTGAAAAGTGAGAGCTCCCCAGGAGCCTGGGAAAGCTCCAAAGCCGGGACGCCTCTCCCAAAAGGCAGAGCAAAACGCCGCGACTGCCCCGCTAGGAAATTGAAACAAATTGAGAATTGAAGCAGGAAGAACAGAGACAGGAGGCTACATAATTGCAAGTATTTATACCTCAATTCCATTGAACATTGTTTCTTTCCAAGCCTACAAGAGAGGAGCTGAAGCGGAAAGGGGGGGAAGATGGCGCTGGCTTGTTAACACAAAGAGACGAAAATGAAAGTGAAGAAGAAAGTTTTTACTGACTTGTTAATTCATTAGTGCCTTTTAGCTACCAGCCCCGCTCAAAAAAAAAATTGGACTTAATTCTGTATTTTAGACTTTGGGATTAAAAATTTAAAGATTTTCTGGATTTTCTTCACTGGTTTTATGACTTGATTCTGAGACTAAAATGGCTTCAAAGCAGATAAAATCTGGGTTGCCTAAAGCAGGGAGTGCGGGAAGTTCCCCCGCCCAGACTACCAAGCTGCAAGCTTTATTGCCCCTAGCGGATACACAAGCTCAATCACAACCATAATCACAAGCACAAACATTAACACTCAAGATGTTTCAGGAAGCTATGAAAGAAATTAAAAAAGGATTTAAAGAAGATATTGCATGTGCATTTAAAGGAGTCTCAGATCAAATGGAAGAAATGAAGGACATAATTAAGACAAGAAATAAACATATAAGGGAAGACATAGTTGTTGCACTCCAGGAACTGGCAAAGCATGTTAATTATGTAGAGGATAGAGTTGAAGAGATTGCTCAAGCTAATGAGATTCTGGACGGTAAATTTGAGGAAACACAAATCAAGATTGATATAACAGAAGCTGAAGTGATGTTGACACAATATAAGATGATGGAATTTACTGTAAGAATAAGAGGCTTGAAAGAAGATCCTAAAGAGAACTTGAAAGAGATCTTTGTGGAAGCTCTGGCACAGTTTACAGGAGAGTCCAGAGAACTTGAATGGCAAATTGATCAGTCCTATCGCGTTAACTCATGGATAGCCAGACAAAGGAAATTACCAAGAGATGTTGTAATCTACTTTGTTACCAGAAGGATTAGAAATGAGATCTTACAAGCCTCCTACAAAAACAAGTTACAAGTGGCAGGACAAGAAGTGGCAGTATTCAAAGAAATACCACCTAAAATGTTGAAATCCAAGAAAGAGTATGCATTTCTGGCAGATGAATTTAGAAATCGACAGATACAATACAGATGGGAAGTTCCAGTCGGATTAGTGGTGAACTATGCAGGAGAGCGATATCGCCTTAATACAACTTGGAAAGCAAGAGATTTCTACACTAACATACTAAAGGCTGGATACCCACCATCTGTGGGAGTTAAAAAAAATAAGAGATGTAACAGAAGGGAGGAAAGAGGATCTGCAGAAGCAAGCAGAAGGTGGAGCTATGAGTATGCAGGATGAATCACTGCAACTTTCAAGTGCTGTCCAAGCATGGGATATAGTTGAAAAACAAGAAGTTAAAGATCAAAGACAAACCAGAGCAGTTACTAAACGTAAAGAACAAGAATTAAAAATGTTACAAGAGCAGGCTTTATTACAAGAAAATGTGGGAGGGGCAAGACCGAAAAAAAAATTCCAAGAGGATTACCAAGCGGCTCTTGCCAAGCTTCGAGACTCTGAAGATGGCTTCTAGGTTTTTAACCTGGAATGTCAATGGTTTAAATTCACCACAAAAAAGGAAGAAAATATTTCACCATCTAAGACAATTTAAAAATGATATAATATGCCTGCAGGAAACACGTATAAGGATAACTGATCAAAAATATTTAATAAATGCAAAATTGGGAACACATTTTGTTGTGTCTGCCCCGGAAAAAAAGAATCGAATAGTGATCTATCTGAAAAGAGACTTGACGGCTAAATTAGTTGAAGCAGATCAACAAGGAAGATATTTGGCAATTGAGTTACTGATAGAAGGGAAGAAGACACTTTTAATGGGGATATATGCACCCAACCAACAACAAGAAAAGTTTTATAAATTGATACATACAAAATTATTACACTGGGACTATAATTCATGCATGCTGATGGGGGATTGGAATGGAGTAATAGACCCCAATATTGATAAGAAAAGACTTTTACAATCTACTAAATTGCGAGCAAGACTGCCTAAATCTTTTTTCAATATGATGGAGGATATGGAATTAAGAGATATTTGGTGTGAACGGAATCACAAAAAACAAGATTTTACATTTTTTTCAGATAGACATCAATCTTTTTCAAGAATTGATTTTATATTAATTACAAATGATTTTTTTTCCAGGGTAAAGAAGACAAAGATTTGCCCCAGAACTTTAAGGGTTCATAGTCCAGTTTAGATGGAACTGGAGTGTGGGGAAAGGTCTAGGAGATCTTGGCGGTTAAATGAAAATCTTTTTAGATATGAGAAAAATGTAATAGAATGTAAAAAGTTAATGAAGGAATTTTTTCTTTTCAATATGAATAAGGGAACATCTATGGATATGGGATGGGATGCTAGTAGAGCATACATGAGAGGAGTTTTGATAAATATGAACAATGCATATAGGCGTAGACAGATGGAAAAAAGGAGGGAATTAGAAGAAGAGATTAAGAAAAAAAAAGGTGTTAATACATAACCCAGGAGACAAGAAAACTAAAGAGGAGATTACCCTATTACGAGGGCAGTTTAATATGATGCTCTCAGATCAAGTGGCAACTAATTTACAATATGCTAAACACAATACCTTTTGTAATGCAAATAAACCAGGTAGATGGTTGGCATATATGCTGAAGAAAAAACAAAAATCTCATACCATAGAGAAAATAGATCATAAAGGTAAAGAGGTTTATCACCAAAATATGATTAAAAAGGCATTTTTAGAATTTTAAATAAGATTGTATATTGCAGATAAAATACAAGGTGTAGATATAGAGAGATATTTGGATAGACAGAATATTCCTATAGTCACAGAGGAACAAAGAGAACAGTTGAAACAATTAATAACAGAGGAGGAGATCCTCTTAGCAATTAATTGAAAACTGGCAAGGCTCCTGGTACGGATGGATTGATGGCTGTGTATTATAAATATCTACAACTGGAAATGGTTGTACCTCTTAAAGAATTATTTAACAGAATACAGTTGGGAGAAGGGGTACCACCTTCATGGAAAACAGCCTTTATTTCATTAATTCCAAAAGAAGATCAAGATTTGACACACCCAAAGAATTATAGACCTATATCATTATTGAATACAGATTATAAGATATTTGCTAAAATATTGGCAAATAGGTTAATGTCAGTAATGCAAAAAATGATTTATGCTGATCAATCTGGTTTTATACAAGGGAGGCAAATGAAAAATAATGTAAGACAAATTGTTGATATATTGGAATATTTGGAAAGGAACAACCAAATCCCTGCAGTGCTTATATTTTTAGATGCAGAAAAAGCTTTTGATTGATTGGATTGGCAATTTTTATTGAGAGTAGTTCACAGGATGCAATTGGGGAATTGCTTTATGCACTCTATAAAAGCAATATATCAAGAACAGACAGCTCAGATAATTGTTAATGGCAGTTTAACAGAAACTTTCAAAATTGAAAAAGGTACGAGAAAGGGATGCCCCTTATCGCCATTATTATTTATATTAACTTTAGAACTGTTGTTGAATAGAATATGTAATATAGATGAGATAGAGGGAATTAAAGTTAGAGATTATGAATATAAAGTACGGGCATTTGCAGACGATTTGGTTGTGACCTTAACTCAACCAGTGGAATCAGCAAAGGTTCTGATGGATATAATTAAACAGTATGGTCAAGTGTCTGGGTTTAAAATAAACGTTGGAAAAACAAAGATGATAGTTAAAAATATGACAATAAATCAAAAAGAGGAGCTACAAAGGGTAATGGGATGTGAAATAGTTAAAAAAGTTAAATACCTAGGTGTTCATATTGCACCTTCTAATGGGAAACTGTATAAATATAATTATGAGTTGTTATGGCATAAAATACAAATTGAAATGGATAAATGGAAAAAATTACAATTGTCCTTGTTAGGTAGAATAGCAGTTATAAAAATGAATGTTTTACCTAAGTTTTTATTCCTCTTTCAAATGATACCAATACTAAAAAAGGATGCCAACCTGGAAGAATGGCAGAAAGGTATTAATAAATTTGTATGGCAAGGTAAGAAACCAAGGATAAAACTGAAAATAATGCAGGATATACGAGAAAGAGGGGGGCTGAAAATGCCCAATTTTAAATTATATTATGAAGCAGCTGTCTTATCAGCAATTAGTGATTGGATTAAACAAATGGAAGAATTCTGAACACTGAAGGGCATGATTTGGTTTATGGTTGGCATGCTTACTTAGTGTATGATAAAAAGGTGGATAGAGCATTTAAGAGCCATATATTGAGGAATGCTTTACTGCGTGTCTGGAAGAAATATCAATATAAATTAAATGAAAAGATGCCTATATGGACAGTACCCAGGCACGCAATAGAGAACATGAGTATAGAAAGCAGACAGGATGTAATTACATATACAGATATTCTTAATATGGAGGGAGGTATATTAAAATTAAAACCTTTGAATGTGTTGAAAGAGGAGAAAATAATTCAAACTTGGTTTCAGTATGTACAACTTCAAGCCAGATGGAGAAAAGATCAGAAAATTGGTATTATACAAAGCGATGAAAATTTAATAAAACAAACTAGAGACCAAAGTTCATTGCATATAAAAAGATTGTATAATATATTGATAGAGATAGACTCGGAAACAGAGCTAGTTAAAGATTGTATGATAAAATGGGCGCAGAATTTTGAGGAACCAATAATGATGGAAACATGGGAAAAAATATGGGTAAGAAATATGAAATTTACACAAGCGCAAAACTTAAGGGAGAATTTTTATAAAATGTTTTATAGATGGCATTTAGATCCAAAAACCTATCTTGTATGTACCCGAATGTACAACCAAATTGTTGGAGATGTGATTGTGAGGATGCTACATACTTCCATATTTGGTGGACATGTAAAAAGGTTAAAGCGTTCTGGATAAAAATTTGGTGGATTTTACAAAACATTCTTAAAAAGAGGTTAAAATTTACACCACAGTTGTTTCTGCTGGGTATAGTTACGGATTATAAGGTTATAGAGACTAATTTGATTTTGAATTTAATAACTGCAGCAAGATTGTTGGTGGCACAATATTGGAAGAAGCAAGATCTACCTACAATCCAAGAATGGACAATGAAAGTAACAAACCTAGCGGAGATGGCAAAAGTCTCGGCGTACTTGAAGGAACATTCAAATGAAAGATACTTAAGGGACTGGAGAAGATGGCTAGATTATATCCAAAGCAAACACCGGAATAAGAAGTTGCAGATAGGATATGAATAAATATGTAGATATTTGGTGTGTTTTTAGGTAATTAAGTTAGCAGGGTAATTAGGGAATTGAAGGAATAAGAGATGCTGAATGTTATAATTATTTAGATTAGGATGGATTATGTTTGTTGAATGTTATACCCTGTAATTTGTTCTGGGAAGAGGAGGGGGGGAGGTGGGCGGATGGGAAGGGGAAGGGGTGGGGGGAGGGGTGGGGGGGTATGGGAGGGGAGGGGGTGGGGGTGGTAGGGAAGGGGGGGAATATGTAAACCTTCTGTAAAAGTTTTTAATAAAAAAAAACAATTCACCCGAACCGGGGCGAACCAGTAGAAACCCATCACTGCTACATATCTTGTTGCTTGTATGTATACTGAGAGCTTAGGCACAGATTCCTTGTGTGTCCAATCATACTTGGTCAATAAAGACCTATTCTATTCTATTCTATTCTATTCTATTCTATTCTATTCTATTCTATTCTATTCTATTCTATTCCACTCACTCCTCTCCTCTCCTCTCCTCTCCTCTCCTCTCCTCTCCTCCTCTATTCTATCTCTACTCTACTCTACTCTGTTGAAAATCCATTTTTTAAAATTTGAACTTAATTAAAGAAAATATGGTTGCTTCCCAAGTCCAAAAGCTTTCCCCTTAGTCACATTAAGCATTCAAATATGTTGAATGTTGGTAATTGTTATTGCTGGTAAAGGTTGGTAATTTTTAAAAGGGCTTTGTTGCCATAGCTGAAATGCTATATTTTGTGGATCTCAATCCTAAATAATGCTGTTTGACCTAGCCAGAGCATCTGCCTATTTCCTTTTCATTGTTGGACAAATTGAATAACATGAATACTACTTCTTATAATCATGCTTTAACGGCATGTGAGAATGACAGGGAAGAAATACTATGAAGGGAACAATCAGATAAGGAGAGGGGCGAGCCCTCAGCTGCATAATGGACAGAGAAAGTAACTCAGAAATGACCTTCCCTAACTTCTCAAGCTATAAAAGAGATAGTGGTAGATTTGTACTATCAGATTGGCAGGATTTGGTTACTGTAGCCTTACAATGACACAGGAATAGCCTGTTGTGACCTAGGCTTCCTGAGTCATTAAAACACACGAGTAGTCCCAAAAACCTCTTTTATTGCAACAGCTGTGAATTATGTTCATTCACAGCTGAGTCCCAATTAGTTGCAAAAAGTCCTTCAGAAGAAGTCCTTTAGAATAATCACCAACCTTTCTCTCCCTTGACACACTGCCAAAGATCTACTTGGCAAAGCCACACGGAGTCCAGAATCAAACAGAGATGCCGACTGGGAACAGAATTAACAATGTTGCTTTCCTGCAAAGGGCCCACGTGCCTTTGCTCCTCTTTTAAGCCTTATGGGAGGGACCAATCATCTCCAGACCTTACTCCTGAGTTGTCCCTTTTGTTTTAACTGTTCGTGCCTTCTGGCAGCTCTGCGCATGCATGCACTAGGAACAGTCTCCTCCTGTTCCTCTGCCTCTCTGCTGTCCGACTCTGGAGGCTCCGGAGTCCGTGAATCACTTCCAGATGGCCCTGGCCCCATCTCTGCCTCCAATGCAAAATCCTTGTCCGGGCCTTCCCCAGACTCCAGGACTGGCCCATGTTCTGCCCCAGCCTCCTCACTGTCCAACTCAGCTGCCAGCTCTGCGGGCTGCTGGCAGACCACAACATAGCCATCTGATCTCTTTCATATCTGGTCTACCTATGAAAGATTAAAAGACCTGAGGTGGCGCAGTGGTTAGAGTACAGTACTGCATGCTTCTTCAGTTGACTGCTAGCTGCAGTTCAGTAGTTCAAATCTCACCAGCTCAAAATTGACTCAGCCTTCCATTCTTCCGAGGTCAGTAAAACGAGGACTCAGATTGTTGGGGGCAATAAAATGATTCTGTAAATCGCTTAGAGAGGGCTGTAAAGCACTGTGAAGCAGTATATAAGTCTAAGTGCTAGTGCTATACATGTGAAATTTTGCATAAACAGAAAGCAAAGCGAAGCATGACTTACTGTGGTAAGGTTCTTGGTTACTTAACACTGACCACATCAGGATTCCATAACTGAAAAGTAAAAGGAAGTAGATCAGATTTCCTGGTGGTCTCCCGTCCAAGAATTAATGACAGTTGAGCCCATATTGTCCATTCAGTTTGTACCATGTTTCCCCACAAATAAGACCCTGTCTTATATTTTTTTTGAACCCCAAAATAAGCGCTTGGCCTTATTGCCATGCACTCAAAAGCCCAATTGGGTTTATTATCATGGGATGTCTTATTTTGGGGAAAACAGGGTAGGTGTTCTTTTCTCTATTAGTTTAACTTTATATTCAGCCAAAAGAATGGAAGGAAATAGAATAAATGGGCTGATCATAAAAAGAAAAACTTCCAGGTTACAGAAAGCCAGTTTTAGGAAAATAAAATGGAGACACAGGAATGGATCTCAGCAAGATTTTCTGCTTTCAAATGGGAATCAGTTCCAAACCAACCTTAGCTCCAAGGTGTGCACATGGATTTAACATCCCTTATTTGACCCTAGAAGCAGTGGTGGGATTCAGCCAGTGGTGAAATTCATTTTTTTTTTTACTATCACTTCTTTGGGCATGGCTTGGTGGGTGTGGCTTGGTGGGTGTGGCTTGGTGGGCATGGCAGGGGAAGGATACTGCAAAATCTCCATTCCCACCCCACTCCAGGGGAAGAATACTGCAAAATCTCCATTCCCACCCCACTCCAGGGGAAGGATACTGCAAAATCCCCATTCCCTCCCCACTCCTGGGGGAAGGATATTGCAAAATCTCCATTCCCACACCACTCTGGGGCCAGCCAGAGGTGGTATTTGTTGGTTCTCTGAACTACTCCAAATTTCTACTACCGGTTCTCCAGAAACTGTCAGAACCTGCTGAACTTCACCCCTGGATTCAGCCAGTTCGGGCCAGTTCAGGTGAATTGCTGGCTGGTCCTCCCTTCCAGGAGTCCTCACGTGCCCCATTTTGGCTCCCAGGTAAGTGCAGGGAGGCCTCCTAGGTCCAAAACAGGGTCCAGGGGTTTGTGGCGTGCCCTCCTACAGCCCGTTTTCTCTACCAGGAGGCTTCAGGGAGGCCTACTAGGCCCAAAATGGGGTGTGGGGTGGCGTGTCCCCCCTGTGGCCTTTTAGATGGGTTCAGGAAGCTGAATGCTGCCTGTCACATCCCCTGGCCATGGCCACCATGGCCATGCCACCCAGCGGGTCAGAACTAGTTGTTAAACTGAGCCTTGGTAGTACAGGGGTTTAAGGCACCCTGTTATTAAGCTTATTAAGACCAGCTGCCTGCAATTACTGCAGGGTTCAAATCTCGCCAAGGCTCAAGGTTGACTCAGCCTTCCATCCTTTCTAAGGTAGGTAAATTGAGGACCCAGTTTGTGGGGGCAATAAACTGACTTTGTATAAATATACAAAAGGATGAAGGCTATTGCTGAGCACATTGTAAGCCGCCCTGAGTCTTCGGAGAAGGGCGGCATATAAATCAAATTTTAAAAAAAAATTATTTGAATCCCACCATTGCCTAGAGGCAATCCAGCTCACCTGTAGACATCCGTGCTGGGGGCTGGCTTGTAATGGAAATCGACAAAGGATTCAGGAGGCATGAACTCCAGGGTCCCACCACAGGTGTCCTCTTCCCCAGAACTGAGGTTATATTGCTGGGTCGTTCCTCGCCTGAACTTGGATAAGCCAAAATCCGATACCTGAGCCAGAAGTGGGGATGGGACATAAGAAGCAGTCAGCAAACGCCATGCATACAAGTTACAAACAAAGTTAAATCATCATCACACAGCTTAGAACAGTCTTCTATTTTTCTCCAGCCATCTGCTGATTCAAAAGCTATGGATGTACATTTTCAATCAACATAATACTAATGAGCCACTAAATGAAGATGCTGGTACATATTTACTGAATGATCGTGCAGATGCTGCAACGGTTATAAGTGTGAAGAACGGTCATAAGTCACTTTTTTTCAGTGTTGTTGTAACTTTGAACTGTCACTAAATGAATTATTTTCTAGGAAGCCTCCCCACCCCTTCTAGGAGAATGAAATGTTTTGGGAAATATTAAAAAGGCAAGATAAAATATTTCCCCTAAAGGAGAAATACAAAATCTTAAGGGAGATAGAAACCAGCCCCAGTTTCCCTGCCCTAAACAGAAACTGAGGAGGCCAGCTTTTAGAAATGCAGATTTGATAATCCATTCAGAAAGACTAAATCAGGACAGAAACTCAGATAAGCAACGAACAAAAGATTGACAAAATTAGCTCAGCAAGTATCTAGGATTTGCATTTCCTCTTTTGCCTATAGAGCCAACTATGACCCCTACATGAGCCCATAGGAATCTGACAACAGCCGATAGAATATTAAAGGACATGTTCTTGCATAAGAACAGGAAGCTCAAATACAAAGCCCAAAGAAGATATAAAACCCACCTACTCTCAACTCCATTTTGTCAGCTACCCAGAACTACAAACCCTGGTGGTTCTGTTTCATCAATAAATGGACCTTCTTTCGAATCAGCCTCCAGCCTCCATTTTGTTTCCAGTGTCTTTCTCCAGTTTGGAACTGAACCAGATGGATTTTCCTTCCAACAGTTTGTAAGTCAAGGACTACCTGTAGCAGTAGTGGGTTTCTACCAGTTCGCCCCAGTTCTGGCAAACCTGTAGCAGCAGTGGTGGGAGGCTCTGCCCACCCACCCGGATGTCATCACGGACACTGGGCATGCGCAGAGGGTCCTGCACATGTGCAGAAGTGCCACGCATGAGCAAAGCGAGCACACATACCATTCACAGTTCCGAACTGGTAGCGAAGGTAAGTGAAACCCACTACTGACCTGTAATAGATTCTTAAAATGGGCAATGATTCCCATTGGAATAATTCCAAATACAAATTCTGTCACTGTGCAATTCTGGGGGAGCTAACAGCTTTAGAATAACAAAGAGAAGTGGGAAAACTCACCCGGACATGCAGTTCCCCATCAAGTAAGATGTTGCTAGGCTTGAGATCCAGATGTAACAATGGAGGATTGAGGTTATGCAAGAAATTCATAGCCAGGGCTATCTCGTACAGGATGCGGAAACGCAGGGCCCAAGGCATGGAGGGGACCTGACAGATTAAATTGGACAAGTTACCGTTCTCCATGTATTCCATCACCAAGCCCAAGCTGGGCACTGTGCCTGACACCAAGGCAGCATCTGTCTGCATTTTGCCTACAAAGAGGCCGTAGAGTCGTAGGATGTAGTTGAAGCGGGCTTTGTCCATGGCTCGGGCTTCATTCAAAAGTTCCTCTCGAGTGAAGGAAGAATTCCTGCAGGAGGTATAGGAATTTCAATTCTGTTGGAGGATAATTGTGGGTGTAATGAAAACAGGGTGATGCTAAGGAATACTATGTTTCTCCAAAAATAAGACCGGGTCTTATATTAATTTTTGCTCTAAAAGATGCATTAGGGCTTTTTTTCTGGTTAGGTCTTATTTTGGGGAAAATACGGTACTAAATGCATCCATCTGGCGGACAATCTTAACTGGGACTTATTTTGGGGGTAGGGCTTATATTACGAGCATCCTGAAAAATCATGCTAGGACTTATTTTCCGATTGGGTCTTATTTTCGGGGAAACAGGGTAGCAGAGTTAAGTTAGCTATTAATTGAGTTACTTATTAATTGAGGACTTGCAGAAAAGATTTCAAGATGGAAATCAGCCCTCCAGTGTAGGCCAGGTTGAGAAGCAGGTGCAGTAGGAACTCCAATAATGCTATTTAGAAGATAGAATAGAATGAGCTGGAAGGGACCTTGGAGGTCTTCTAGTCCAGCCCTCTGCTCAAGCAGGAGAACCTACCATTTGAGATAACTGACTGTCTAGATTCTTCGTAAAAACATCCAGTGATGGATGCCCACAATTTCTAAAGTCAAGTTTTTCCTCTGATTAATTGTCCTCACTGTTAGGAAGTTTCTTCTTAATTCCAGGTTGCTTCTCTCTTTGATTAATTTAAAATATCCTTTGGAGGATATTTTGACCCCCTCTTCTTTGTGGCAGCCTCTCAAATACTGGACTACTGCTATCATGTCACCCCTAATTCTTCTTCTCTTTAGACCAGCCAAACCCAAATCATTACAGCCTTTCTTCATATGTTTTAGTCTCCAGGCCTTTGATCATCTTAGTTGCTCTTCTCTGAACTTTTTCCAAACCATCAACATCTTTTTTGTAATATGGTGACCAACGTTTGTTGTTGTTCAGTAATAGAATCTTGAAATATCCACAAGTTTTTCTCTATCCCATTTTACTACTAATCAAAATTAAGTTGGGGTTATTTTGAGGTTTTTTTCCCCTCACATTCCCTTCATTCCCAGGCCTTACATCTTTTCTGTAAGGCCCAGTGGTGAAATGTAAAATTTGTTACTACCAGTTCTGTGGGCGTGGCTTGTTGGGGGGGAGGTTAATATGGCTGAGTGGGCATGGCCAACTTTTTTTTTTTAACTTTTTAAAACATTTTTTCTACAACCTCTTCAGCTGAAGAGTTTGTAAAAAAAAGTGCTTTTAAAGCCTCTGACGATCCCAGCTGACTTGCCTGATCGGCAGAGGCTTTTTTTCCTTTTAAAAACATTTTTTCTATAACCTCTTCGGCTGAAGAGATTGTAAAAAAAATGCATTTAAAAGCCTCTGATGATTCCAGCTGAGTGCACGATCATCAGAGGCTTTTTTTTTTTACTTTTAAAAGCATTTTTTCAGCCAAAGAGGTTGTAGAAAAATGCTTTAATTTTTTTTTAAAAAGCCTCTGATGATTGTGCGGCTCAGCTGGGCAATGTGGGGGGGCAGGGATTTTTGCTATGAGTTCTCCAAACCACCCGTCTCCATCGCTACCGGATCGGGTGATCCGGTCTGAACCGGGAGCATTTCACCCCTGGTAAGGCCTCCTATCAAAGTTTGGAACTTCCTTGTCCCCTTAACTCATCCCTTCTGGCTATATTCCTTTATATGAGATGGGGTTCATAAAGAAGTAATAATTAAAATGCCAAATTGGGAAACCTGGAATTCTGATTGCTGATAGCACCCTGATAGCATTTATTACTGGGACAACTGTCCTCTTTTTGTGCCTCTTGGAGAAGGCATCGAAGTCATCTAATCTACTGTTCTAAATCATCTAATCTACTGTAAATCATCTAGTCATTCCAAATCATCTAATTTAATCTACCCGTGCTAAACTAATCTTTTAGAATTAATGAGCTGGAAGGGGCCTTGAAGGTCTTCTAGTCTAGCCTCCTGCTCAAGCAGGAGAACCTATACTGTTTCAGATGAGTGACTGTCTAGAATCTTCTTAAAAACATCCAGTGAGGGAGCACCAGTAGTGGTTTTCACTTACCTTCACTACCGGTTCGGAACTGTGAGCTCATGCGCGGTGCTTCCACTCATGCACAGAACCACTCACGCACAGAGCTCATGCACAGAGCATCCATGATGACGTCCGGGCGGTTGGCGGAGCCTCCTGCGGCCACCACTACCAGTTCACACAAACCAGGGCGAACCGGTAGAAACCCACCACTGGGGAGCACCCATGATTTCTGGAAGCAAGCTGTTCCATTGGTTAATTGTCCTCACTGTCAGGAAGTTTCTCCTTAATTCCAGGTTGCTCCTCTCTTTGATTAGTTTCCAACCATTGTTTCTTGTCCTGCCCTCTTGTGTTTTCTAAAATAAATTGACCCTCTCTTCTTTGTATTTGAGTATTCCAGTATTTGACGGCAGCCCCTCAAATACTGGAATACTGCTATCAAGACACCCCTAATTGTTCTATTCTTTAGACTGAGCCAAACTGAAATCCTGCAGCCATGCTTCATGTTTTAATCTACTGTAGTCAAATTCTTGTTAAATCCTATATTTAGTTATTTTCCCCTCTGTCCCATTCAAACTTATAATGTGTGGACATTGTTTGAAGATCTCTAGGGCCATATCCAAAGTTCACACATGATTGTGGGAGCTACAGATTATACATTTTTGTCAGGCAAGAGAAAGAAAAGATCTCACTTTCTATCTTTGCACTCAAACAACTTCCAAACAACCACAATTACCGGTTCAGAAACTTGATTGCAACATCGGTCCCCCAATTCTGGTGGCGAGCTCGGAATATGTCCCCAAAAGATCCTCGGCCAATGAAGGAGAAGTTCTTCAGGTGATCCTCACCGATCTGCTCATAGAACTCGTTGGGAACAGCCATTCTTCTCAAATCTTCATCGGACACCAATGGCTGCGCCTCAGTAGTCCGGCATATTAATGGCTGTTTTCTAGAGACAGGAAGATAAACACGTAGCTTCTAAGTAGGACCATGGTTGGCTATGAAGTGCTATGCTGGGTACTACACTTCAACCAGGGGCCAGGAGAAGAATGTGGTCAGGACCAGGGCTAATATGACTTCAGGTTTAATTGAATGCATCATTACATTCAATAAAAATCAAAGTAAAGGAAAAGCTGTGATTTCTCCCATATTTTCTTTTCCTTCTGCAAATTCATGTCGGAAGGGATCTGGGGATCATACCTGAAGCTATTGGGGCCTACACCAAGCCCAGATGTTCCCAGTTGAACATCTCTGATCTAGGTGCAAAACTCAGGACAGCAAGGAGGACATGATGGTTGTGGCCGGTTCCCAGCCTAATGTTGTTCAAAAGTGCTGGGTTTGGAACTCTCAGAATTCCTAGTCACTCTTCTGACTGGGGGATTCTGGGAGTTGTAGTTTCAGTGCATCTAGATTGGAGCAGGCCTGTTATAATGCTAAGGAACATAAGTTTGGAGCAGTCAACTTTTATTGTCTGGTGGGAACTAGAAATGGCAAGTGTAATGAAGAAGAGTCGGAAGAACCTCAGCCATGGTAATGGTCAGGTAACCTCAGCGAAGGTAATGGTCAGGAAATCTGCACCCAAACAGGAATGGAATTTGAGAAAGCACCTCAGATGTCACTTTTTCTAGTTCTCTTTAGATTTTTAGGGTTGCCTCATGAGAATTCAGCCTTAAATACACACACACACACACACACACACACACACACACGCACGCATGCACGTACACACACAATTGTACAATTGTTGTCTCTACCTGAAGACGTTGCTGAACTTTGCAATAAACTGTAGTTAAACAAGTCATGGGTCAGGTGAGGAATAATTAGAAAAGAATTGTTTGTTCAGTGATTTGCGCCTTCCGGAGTTCTTTGGATTAGCCGGAAATGTGATTCTGGAGATGGAAGGTTCTTATGTTAAATATGCCCAACTCTGTAAAGAAGCCAAGTTCCTTTGTCTCTACTACAAATATTACTAGAATTAATGTAGGCACCTAAAGTGAGAGATGAACATCTTTTGAATTAAGAAGTCCATCTTCTGAAAGATCTTGAGAACTTTTCAGAAAAGCACCTCACCAGGGCAAAATGATAGAAATAAAGCAGGGTTTGCGGGAAACATACATTTTGGAAAAACCCTTTGGGGGGGGTCAGAGATATTAGCATGTTACCCCTCACTGCCTCAGTCCCTCCTGCTGACAGTTTTGATGATCAAGGCAAGTAGCTTTTCCACCCCAGCAGAAGCTCCTTTCTAGACTTCTTGGATCAAATCATGGCATGTTCACTGCACCACTGCACCCACTTGTCCTCTTCTACTTCCTACTGGCCCAATGGGCCAGTGAAATGTAATTGTGGATGGTGTGGGGCAGACAAGAGGGGAGGAGTGAAAGGGCAGGAGATCCCCCCACCTGACTTCCTGCCACTTTGGGGAAACTTGAAAGAGTGACTTGAACCCCGTGGCACTGAATGTAACCACTAGACCACCTCAGGCGGGCCTAAAGTCACCCATTTTGACACTCTTCAACACCCATGGACAGAATGGACTTTTTTCCTCCAGTGAATACCAGAGTAGATCTGGGATGAGAGGCACAATGCATAGAGAAAGTTCACTTCCTTTTTTGGACTGCCCACCCAGAACACTCCCTAAACTTGGGTACCTTTCTCAGTCCTTGTCGACTTCTTTCTGTTTGGAGAGGTCTAACTTCAGGCCTTCACCGACATCTCTGGTTTAATTCCTCTTCTCTTCCTGTCAAGAAAGTCCTCCTTCTCAAGGCTTCCCTCCTCCCCCCTCCCTCCGCACATACTTTCTCTTTCACAACCTCTTTGTGTCTTCTGAGGTTCTTCCCTTCCCAGACCTCCACAGAACCATAGAGTGCAACCCTTTCAAAGGTCCTGAATAGAACTCGTTTCACCATTGATGATGACAGTAGGGCAGAGGACTTCAACCTTGGCATGAGGAATGAGTTTGGAGGCTTCCTAATGTTTACAAGCAAAAGCTTGTATCAGGTGTAAACTATGGCTTAGAGATACAGATTAACAGAGTTGGAAGGGACCTTGTAGGTCATCTAGTCCAGCTCCCCGTCCAAGCAGACCCTACACCATTTCTGACAGATGGCAGTCCAGTCTCTTCTTGAAAGCTTCCAATGATGAAGGTAAGCTGTTCCACTGGTTGATTGTTCTCACTGTCAGAAAATTTCTCCTTATTTCCAAGTTAAATTTCTCCTTATTCAGTTTCCAGATAGAGCTATGTAAGGAAAAAAAAGACTGAAAAGCCATAGCATGCATCCAGAGTTGGTATTCAGCCGGTTCAGACTGGTTCACCTGAACTGGTAGCAGAAATCATGGGTGGACTTGCCCACCAACCCACCTGCCTCAGCTCTATGCCATCCTATTAAGGCACATTTTGAGACTGGGTGCATGCATGGAAGGCACACGTGTGAGCAAAGCACATGCATGGAAGGCCGGGTGCATGAGCAGAAGGCAGGCACGCACAAGAACCAGGCGCGCGCAAGCACGGAGCAAGCGTGCGTGTGCATGGCGAACCGGTAGTAATGTAATGTGAACCCCACCACTGCATACATCTCTTATAAGAAGCACATGAGGACAGCCAATAACCATAATGGCTGGGAACATGCTGTAGACCAAAAGGTTTGGAAGATACTCAACAGGGGATGGTTGGAACTGGAAGGTTGGAATAGAGCTTTGGAACAGTCCTGAACCAAATCTGCTTCTTGGTTGTTAGAAAATAGAGGAGTGGAAGATGACTTAATTTAAAAACAGTGTTTAGTTTTGGACCATGGAAGGAACATCGATGTATAGCTCACCAGGGAAATTGTTTTTCTTTAATACAGAAAACAGAATAGAATAGAATAGAATAGAATAGAATAGAATAGAATAGAATAGAATTAGAATAGAATAGAATAGAATAGAATAGAATAGAATAGAATAGAATGACAAGAGATGGAAGGGACCTTGGAGGTCTTCTAGTCCAACCCCCTACTTAGGCAGGAAACCCTATATTATTTCAGATAAATGATTATACAATCTCTTCTTAAAAACTTCCAGTGTTGGAGCATTTATAACAATAAACCATCAAGGATTGGTTTATCTTCCCAAACTAATGAAGGCTTGGGTTTGAACAACTCATCTGACCTCATGCCTGCTCACATGCAAAGTGGAAGGACATGCATTAGCTTATAAATTTCCTAAATAAATTATCAAGGCATCTAAAACCTTTCTTCCAAATATGTTTTTGATGAGTCTCCCTTTCTCTGTATTTCTTAATTAAAGAGGGGAATTAACCTATTTTTTTAAAAAAAGACAGAAGACAGTTTGTTTCTTTCTTACAAAAAAAAAATAATAATAATGTGAAGAAAAGCAAAGTGGATTTTATAAGGATTTGAATTCCATTCTAACCATTCCCTTTCTTTCTCCATCTCCATCTATTAGTTAGCTATTGTAGGAAGTTAGCACCCACCCGTCTCCTAGAAGAATGAAATATTCTAGAAAATATTAAAAAGGCAGAATATTATACCTCCCTGGATGAGAAATGGAGAAACATGTTTTTTTAATCAGGAAGTAGACTCACTCTTAATAGCCCCCACACTCCTCAATAGCCCACAGCAGATGTCAGCACTTAAAAGATAAAGAGATAGCTAGGTCTATTCATTAGCAAATATCCTTACCCAAGATCCAAAAAAGGTAGGATTAGCCCTCTACCCATCTAGCAGCAGAACTCATCACATGGCATCTGGGGAGATTACATCACCCAGCAAGTTTCAACCAAGCTTGGGACTCAAAAGACAACCTACAAAGTTACACCTGCATGGCCCCATGGGAGTCTGACAACCAATCAGAATACAAGCTCAAATTCAAAGTCCAACAGAGGGTATAAATCTCTCTCTCACACACCCATGTGCTTTTTTGCCCAGGTCCTCAAAACCAAAAATGGTGGTCCTGTCCACCATTAAACTATCTTTTCAAGCAGTCTCCATTTTTCAAGTGTCTTTCTCCCCACTTGGAACTGAACCCAGATGGACATTTCTTCCAACACTAGCTAATTATCAAATTAGAAACTGCCCAGAGAGGGATAACAGAATAACAGAGTTGGAAGAGACTCTTGATGGTGTACAAATAAAATATTAAAACATTAAAAGTGTATATAATATTTAAGTAAGAGGCAATGATAATTAAAACTCAACATTAAAAGTTAATTAAAAGGCAAGGGAGGCCCCTCAGGACACCAATCAGCCCTATGTTTGCAAACATTTCTAAAAGACTAGATTGGTGGCTGCCTCTATATAGAATAGAATAGAATAGAATAGAATAGAATAGAATAGAATAGAATGACAAGAGATGGAAGGGACCTTGGAGGTCTTCTAGTCCAACCCCCTACTTAGGCAGGAAACCCTATATTATTTCAGATAAATGATTATACAATCTCTTCTTAAAAACTTCCAGTGTTGGAGCATTTATAACAATAAACCATCAAGGATTGGTTTATCTTCCCAAACTAATGAAGGCTTGGGTTTGAACAACTCATCTGACCTCATGCCTGCTCACATGCAAAGTGGAAGGACATGCATTAGCTTATAAATTTCCTAAATAAATTATCAAGGCATCTAAAACCTTTCTTCCAAATATGTTTTTGATGAGTCTCCCTTTCTCTGTATTTCTTAATTAAAGAGGGGAATTAACCTATTTTTTTAAAAAAAGACAGAAGACAGTTTGTTTCTTTCTTACAAAAAAAAAAAATAATAATAATGTGAAGAAAAGCAAAGTGGATTTTATAAGGATTTGAATTCCATTCTAACCATTCCCTTTCTTTCTCCATCTCCATCTATTAGTTAGCTATTGTAGGAAGTTAGCACCCACCTGTCTCCTAGAAGAATGAAATATTCTAGAAAATATTAAAAAGGCAGAATATTATACCTCCCTGGATGAGAAATGGAGAAACATGTTTTTTTAATCAGGAAGTAGACTCACTCTTAATAGCCCCCACACTCCTCAATAGCCCACAGCAGATGTCAGCACTTAAAAGATAAAGAGATAGCTAGGTCTATTCATTAGCAAATATCCTTACCCAAGATCCAAAAAAGGTAGGATTAGCCCTCTACCCATCTAGCAGCAGAACTCATCACATGGCATCTGGGGAGATTACATCACCCAGCAAGTTTCAACCAAGCTTGGGACTCAAAAGACAACCTACAAAGTTACACCTGCATGGCCCCATGGGAGTCTGACAACCAATCAGAATACAAGCTCAAATTCAAAGTCCAACAGAGGGTATAAATCTCTCTCTCACACACCCATGTGCTTTTTTGCCCAGGTCCTCAAAACCACGTGGTCCTGTCCACCATTAAACTATCTTTTCAAGCAGTCTCCATTTTTCAAGTGTCTTTCTCCCCACTTGGAACTGAACCCAGATGGACATTTCTTCCAACACTAGCTAATTATCAAATTAGAAACTGCCCAGAGAGGGATAACAGAATAACAGAGTTGGAAGAGACTCTTGATGGTGTACAAATAAAATATTAAAACATTAAAAGTGTATATAATATTTAAGTAAGAGGCAATGATAATTAAAACTCAACATTAAAAGTTAATTAAAAGGCAAGGGAGGCCCCTCAGGACACCAATCAGCCCTATGTTTGCAAACATTTCTAAAAGACTAGATTGGTGGCTGCCTCTATTTTTGTGGGACTATATTTCAAAGGGCGGAGGCAACAGCAGAGAAGCCTTTCTTCCTGGATCCCACCAATCAGAATCCTTTCACTGACTGGGTGGGAGGGACTGATATATTGGGCTGAAGTCGGTTCCAGGGGTGGGTTCAACTTACCTTTACTACCGGTTTGCAGCGGGAGCATGTGCGCTTGCTCGCACGCACTTCTGTGCATGCGCAGATCATCCATGATGATGTCGTGGTAGGTGGGCGGAGCCTCCTGCCGGTTTTACTACCGGTTCTATAGAACCGGACAGAACTGGGAGCAACTCACCACCGGAAGGTTCCATTGATAACCTGGCCCCATGATATGTAGAGCTTTAAAAGTCATAATCAACACTTTGAATTTGACCCAGAAGCAAACTGGCACCCAATGCAGCTCTCGCAGCATAGATGCTATCTATCTCTATAAAAGCCAAATCCACTCACTCATCATGAAATCTCCAGAACTGTAAAGCCTACAAACTTGAAATTTGGCACGCGTGTTCCTCTTGGCTTCTATTTGCTCGCTAAGAAAGGATTTTTCAAAATGACCATCAGGTCATTAGTATTTCATATACAGTGTATTCATAGACAGTGTATTAACACACTCTGATGCTAAGGAGTTAGACGTTCTACTCCCCCTCCCCACCTGAAAAGTTCCAACTGCCACTTGCCTCACATTCCGTTCCCTCCGTTCAAACTGGCAGACGTTCCACTCCTTCGCTCAGGAGCGGTCTGGGGCTCCTTATAATACTAAATGTTGCTACCTCACCAAAATGTCTACACTTTCCACCTATGGAACTGCTTCGGGACTCAAGGCAGTGGGAGAGATATTCCCTTATGTGTTTCAATCACCGACCACCACTGAACCAATGGATTGTGAACTGAATTTCTCCTGCATAGTGTCCCAGCCCCAACTCACTTCTTACCCTGACCTCCTCAGTTCAGATGAATCTGTTCTTTCTACTGTAACATCAGTTAAAGGGAAAAGACTGTCTTTCTACTGCTCGGAAGTACAACGGATGCTTCAAAATGACGTCTTTTGGAGCCAGAGAGGTGAAGGAGGAA